GGATACACCGGCAGACGCTTGAGTTGAGCGAAAAGGTGTTGGGCAAGGTGCGTCCTGGTATACTTGAGTAAGAAATCCGTGTGGTGTGTTTGAGAGCAGGGCACATTTGTTTGTTGCTTTACTCACTCTTTCTTATTCTCTTATATTTTCTTCTCATAGCGTGCCACAGAAGGGTCTGGGAGGGCGAGTTACTATATAGTTATCCTTTAATTCTACTATATTCTACTGTTTTCGGTGTCTTTCTCTGCCGGTAACTTGGCTAGCTGGGAATATTGACTTGCCACAAGCTAACTCAGATAGGAAGTAGTAGCCTATTCAATCCTCTAGAGGTGGCCAGGCTCTAGCTGAATGATCCTTGTTGAGCCACCTAGCGGACTCAACGGGCTGAGAAGCGGAATACGATCCACTCCTATGCATTGTAACATCGGGGCATTAACTGTGACAGGCTCGACTTGTCCCTGCAAGTGAGTTTTATATAGCTCCAATGTCTATAAGTCCTAGATAGGTTCCTGAAAACGTACTGAGGTACTATTAGGCTTTTTTATCTTAGTTTAATAGATATAAACCTACCTTATAGAAACGAGTCTGAGGGTTCTAGGAGATGAGCATCCTAACACGCTGACCAGCATAGGCAACCTGGCGTCGATGTACCGGAACCAAGCCGGTAGAAGGAGGCCGAGCGCCGGGCTAGGGCCGGTATTCGCAGCACGAGCACGGCAGGTCGTTGAGTCCACATCGCTACATTCTCGCTGAAGACTCCTCTTAGGCCGAAGAGACCGGCCTACGGTGTAGCCGTCAAATTTGACCTGGTTGAGGACGGCGGCCCGTGGGATCGGCATCCTTTGACACATATGAACACGAAAGCGGCCATTACCCTAGACCGTGTAGAGGAGGTCACAAACACGTTTGGTTGGCTAAGAGCGGGTTCGCAACGCGTTAGTGAAAGCGTGGTCACAATAAAGCGACATTAGATTCACACCACAGCAAAAGTCAGAAAACGGAATTGGAAAACGGAGATGTGAAAACTGAGCGCGAACACGTTCCCTACCGTTTCAATCATCAGAAAACGTTCCTTCACGTGACCTGAACTTTGCTGAGTCAGCAGCACAACCGAAAATGAAAGTGAAATACTAGTTCCAGATTCATGTTCACGGCCTCCCCACAATAGCGACATCTTCTTGTCTTCGTTGTTGTTCAAAGGGGGCGGTTTCTTGTCCTCAGAGCGACCAGTTTTGGACCCTTTTGAGCGGATAAGGAAGATTTATATGCAAAACTCAAGTACGGCCTGGAAGGGAGGCGTAAGCCCAATACAGCGGGTGAACGGCTCAATTTTGGGAACAAGTTTGCGAGCGGCCCAGGCCCCAAAGCCCAAAGGGTCCAAGATTTTGAGGACCGGACGGAACAGACTAAGAAAGTCGTTGACGTCCTCATCGGTGAGAGACAGATCGGGTAGGGGTTGCGTAGCACAGAAACTCATTGTGAAGAAATAGATCGGGTGGGTAAATCCACGCTCTTCACCGTTTAGGTACCCTGCGCCTTCAATACTGTTGTCACGAAAGCCGTTACTAGTAGTGTTGTTGTCCCACCATGCTTGAACGTCGGTGGCAATTCTCGCACGCATGTGATGGTAAGACTCCAGATTGCGCCGGGCAAAGCCCCAGTGGTCAAGATGGAGATCGTAGAACCTGTCCTCTCGGCTTGCGAATGAACAAGAGGTGATAAATTTAGTCCACGACTGGACTGATTTTACCCCGAGTTAACGTATTCTACGCATAGTTTAATTACTTGTGTAACATATATATGGCTCGGTGTCTTACCTCTATTACTTCGGTAACCGGCGTACCCTTGTGAGGGGTGCCCAGAGTAACAACAGCCTTCACCCACGGCCGTCGGTCGACACCACGGAATTGTGGCAAGTTGGGTTCCCCTCCACCTGACAGTAGCCAGATCAGGTACCTAACTGTCGTATCACCTTGTGAGTGGCAGATGAAGTTGACTCTGTTCGTGTCACTCCATGTCCATGACTGCGGCAAGTGATCGGCGCCGTAGACAACTGCGAGCGGCGTCTGCGGAGCCGGTGCTCCTCTCGGTAGAAGGAGTCCAGTTCCGAGATCAAGGTTTATCATGGTCGGTGGTGTGCTTCCCGGAAGGTCAAAGCCTCTGGTCTCGTCAACCTTAGCCAAAAACATTAACGGACGAGCATTGTTGCCTGCCTTGCCTGGCCTCCCGGAGTCGGAGGACCTCTGATTCTAGTAAGCTGCTCGTAAATCTCGCAGGCCCGTTCTCTGTTGCTTGATATCGGCCCAATACGGACAAGAACGACGGTATATCCATCAGTGGACAAGGCCGACGCCAAGTCTGAAAAGCCGCCAAAGTAGTTCAGTGTCCCTAGAAGCGGACGACCCCATCCGCTGAATCCGGGTACTTCACTCGATTAAATGGATTCAGTCAGCCGAGTCAGTCGAGTTGTCCTTCGCCGGTGTCCCTCTTGGAAGAACTTGGGAGATGGCGTATGCTGCGAGTGGCTCACCAAGAACAATCGGGCATCCCTTATCGAAATGTCCTGGAAGATTTAGTCTCCCTCAGAGATCTCTGACCTCGTCTTGCAGGCGACGGACACCGTCGTATTCCTGCCGGATTCTGCCAGTGATATAGTTCATCATAAGGCGTGTAACCAGTGGGAATTCAGATGGTGTGTTTTCGAGTATTATTCTCAGGATTTAGGAAATTGGGATAATAGAATCCGCCGAACGTTAATATCGACAGTCCTGATCACATGGAAGAAGTTGCCGATGAGTTCAAATGCTATATGCTATGTCAACGTTATGCGTCACGGGTCATTGGGATCATTGATACTCACACCGGTTTGTTCAGTCTCGTCCCGAAACGACGTCGTTAGCATTGTGCCTGTCCCCGGAGCCCCAACCGCTCAGCCGTGTGACACCATGTTATTGTTGAGGAAGAGCGAAGGAGGTGATAATCCTAGGGTAATTTGAGCACCGCTTGCGGGCGCCATAAAGGCGAAGGTGCCGCATGTGCTACCACGTATCTTGACTGTCCTCATCTTAGTGAAATCATGACTCAAAGGCTAGCTCCCGTCGGGCCTCACGAGTCACGAGAATGTCTCGGTCGTGATTATGGCGTCCCACCGCTACAGTCACCGTGACGGCGTGAACGAGAACGTTTTCAGCAAATGGTGAATGGAACCTGGCGCCACTGGGTCCTGGAATGTGGCGGCGCCCAGCCAGCCACATCATCATGATGATCATGGTGATGATGAGCCCGCCTGGGGTTCCAACTGAACTTGAACGCCACAGGGTCCTGGGTGAGCAGTGGCTCTGCGAGTATTACGGTTAGTTAGAGCGATGGTGTTACGGTTGAGCTCCCGGAGCCATCATCGTGTCAGGGTGGAGGGAAAGGTTTGACTTGGGCCTGGGGAATTGTGGCTGATTGATGAACCTGTAGCCCTCACTCTCAGTGCCATTGAAAGTGGCCAGCCTCGACAAAGTGTCTTTCGAGAAGCGACGGTCCCAGCCACACGCTGCCTCTTGCAGACGGACCTGTAAAGTGGGCAGGAACCATTGCATCAATTTCCTGTATTTATTGTGGCTCGGCTGGGCATCTCCCATCTTCAACTTTAGGCCACTCCAACCACAGGAAATACCACCCAATTATTCCAACGTTTTTCAGACCTGGTATTGCCAGAAGGTCCTCGTGGCCCGATGGAGGGATTGTTGACGCGAGTGTTCTGGAAGCCCTCGTGGACTCCCTCCGGCATTAATGATTGAAGCTAAACTTGCCCTTCGAGAAGTTCGAGGTCCACGGCTTGTTGGGTGCGAGCTCGCCGTGGGCTTCGACGAGGTAGTAATCGACTAAAGGGTTCTCCGTCCAACCTTAAAATGTAAACTGCTAAATAGTGGAAAGCAGTTGAAGAAGGTGTGGTATTTTGTGTTGATTGGAATTTGGAAAGTGGGCTGGAAGGTTCAAGTTCAGGAATTGTTGCAAGTGGCACCTTCCACTGTTCTCTTCGATAGCCGGAACCCCCTGGAAAATGAGATTAAACTGGGTGGAGATGCCCGCGGGACCTGGATAACGCACACCTCACCCCTGAAAGAACCCCCTATCTCCCACTAACGTTCCCTAACTCCGCAATTGGTTAGCGAATTAGGTCGCTAAAATGACAGGGCCGAGACAGCCTAACGATGCGGTGGCCATGGCCCTGATGGCAGCTTGGTCAGCCACTGAGGTTTTTTCTTTCACACTTCAGATCGTCATAGAACGACCTCATTCCTACGCAATCTCAACACCGCACGCCGCCGGGACTGTTTGAGGAGACACCAAATCATAGATTCTACTGACCGACTGATGGCAATACCTGGATCATCACTTTGGACGTGGTTTACACTCGCAGCTGGGGATCACCCCAGAGACCCAGACTCCCAGAGTGATCACATTCCCAAAGCCCGCGAACAGTCACGGATCCCCCTCCTCCCACACCTCCCTCCTCCTTCTCCTACCCCCCTTCCCTTCGACGGGCACTTTGACATGCTCAACCAACTCCGCCTTCTGCACAGCCTGCCCGTCCTCATCAATTTCCACCACCGGCAGCCGCTGCGTCTGCAGCTCCCACCGCCCAGCCCACTGAACAAACACCAACCCGCACCACCAGACCACGCCCAGGAGGGCACTGCCCATACCGACTGTAGGCCCAACCCACCACGGCCAACCTCCAGTCCGCTTAGGCTCGCTGGGCGGGACAAACGCAGCGATGAGCAAAAACCCCAACCCCGCCGTCGCCACAAGCACGGGCAGCGGGTCCAGCCAGGACTGCCAGACGGACTTGCGCGCCCAGTTACGCCGCGACAGTATCCCCATCTCTGACACCCACGAGTCGAGTTTCAGGTACAGCAGCCCCGCCGCTGTGAGGAACCCCAGGACCCCAACCACCACGTACGTGTACACATATGTCAGCCCGCCGTAGGCGTCCGACGGCCGCTTCTGGGCCAGGCCGATGGCTAGGAGCAGGATTACCTCAAACGCCCAGTGCAGGGCGGTAGCGGCAAAGGGCGCCTGTTCATGGTGGCCGTCGAGGTTGCGGATTGCGTTCGCGGGGCGGCTCGCGCCGGTGCTGGCCGTCACGCCGGTGCTGCTGCGGTGGTGGGGCCCGTAGGGGTGGGTGTGCGGCAGTGTCGCAGTACTGTTTCTGTTGGCAGTAGTGCTGTCGGAACGGGGGCGCTTGAGGCGGGAAATGAGCGTGTCGTTGCCCGTGGCGAAGAACAGGGACCATGGCAGGATGCCTTCCTTGGCCACCTCTTGCTTCACGCGCGAGGCCGTGTACGTCTGCGCCATGAGGTTGCCAAAGATGAAGATGGCCAGGATGATGGACACGATGCGCACCGCGGTGCTGTGAGATCCGAGTCCGGACAGCCGCTCGATAAAGGCGATGGCCATGTTGTCGGCCAGAGCGGCGTTGCCGGTGTAGGGATTCATGCACAGATAGCTGACGTTGGTAAGGGGAAAGAGGATGAGCACGCACACCATGGCCGAGATGGTCGCTTTGGCAAACGTCTTTTGCGGACGCGAGACTTCGGACAGGACGTAGAAGGGCTGCTCGTAGCCCGTGTACGGATACATGGCAAAGAAGAGAGCCAGGGCAATGTCGCCGACGTTGCCGGACTCAGCTGGGTGGGCGGGCGCCCAGGTGATGCTTCTGCACCCGTCGCCGTGGACTGCGCCGTAAGAGATGCCGACGACGGCAACGACGACGACAAAGGCAAGCTTCGCGACTGCGAAGAGGTTGTTGAGGCCCATGGTATACTTTCGGCTCGAGATGTTGAGAAGAGCGCAAACGGTGAGGACAAAGACGCCCCAGGCCACTACGTAGCCGTGGTTGAAGCATGAGCTGTCGTCCTCACGGCAGGTCGGGTTGATGGCCAGCTGCATAAAGACACCAAACTGCAGAGCGTTGCCGGCGAGGTTGCCCCAGATGATGAAAGCGATGCCGAAGATGCATTTCATCAGGTCGCGGGGCTTCTTGTAAATGTACTCAAGCTGGGAGATGAAGGTTAGCAGCTTGCCTTCTTCACTGTTGTCCCTAAGGTGGGCCGTACGTAGTTCTTGTCTCCGCCGTTCCTGGGCGACGAAACCCTTTGCCAGCTGCCGTCACGGAAGACGTAATGAATCGGGATGGTCAAGGCCAATTCGATCCAGGTCGCGACCACGCAGAGGATGATGATGCCAGCCACAACCCAGATCAGGAGAGCGGCCCCGGAACTGCCGGTGTATTTAAGAACGTTCACGGGCTGGGTGAAGATGCCGCTCGCTATTGTCCTGTTTATAACCAGACAGAAGACGGTGAATCGGCTCAAAAGTTGGTTCCGGGTAGGGGCTACATCGAATCGCTAAGGGGCTGTGTGAGTTCATACTCGCCTAGTATTTGTGTCGAACCCAGGAGGAAGACATACCTCCCGCTCGGAGTTGTAACGCTGTATCCGTTCCTGGAGCTCCTCCCGGGTGAGAGTGTGTACGCCATGACCCTCGGCGGCGAACGAGCCCGAGGTATTTTCATCTCGTGATGCCTGCATGCTGCCTTCAACGTTTCACGTCTTGAACCGTGGTGGTGCGGCTGCTGGTGCCGAGGGGAGAACTGCAGACCAAGGTCGAAAGCGTCGTGTAAGAATTGTTGAGAGAACCAGCTGAAGAAGGAGGTATTACTACTAGCACCGAAGCTCACCGGATATCCGTTGGGTGCCTACCTTAGCAGGGCGAGAAAGCCTGGGTCGAGTCGGTGGTGCCCAGCGAGGCTTGGAAACGCCATGAGCCCGCCTCTCATGCGAACTAGGCAAGGCTCGGAGCTTTCCATCACGGTCAACATGGGAGGAAGACGGCCTTGGCAGACTGAGCCTCTTTTGGTGCACTTTTGTGATGTCGATAGTGCGAGCCATTTGATTCTGCTTTGCCATTTTGGATAACTCCACGACACCAGAATCGGTCGTGTCTGCAGCAGTGTGCACCGCCCGGTGTTCGTTCTCTCCAGTGACCTGAAGTCCTGCACCGGTTTGCTGCAAGCCACCTGAGCGGTGATAGGACACAACCTCGACATGGCTGGCAGCTGAAGTTGACAGCGGCAGGCAACCAAAGCCACTGCATGCGTGAATTCTGGAAAACAGGCAGCTGCCCCTCTTCTTCGCTCCTTCCTCGTTCGCTTTGAGAGGTCATGTGTTACATGCAGCAGTAGTTGAAATATCGAGTTCGCGTTCTCCACAAGCTGACTGTCCCGCGCTCCTTCCTGTTTCTCATCCATGGAGTCGCCGCCAGCTTCTCTTGTAGAACTAGGCACCGGTGAGGCATCGGTCGCGCTCCCCTTGACTTCGACTGAAATCCCATTCAATTCCGTCGCTCCACGCCGCGAGCTGTTTGTTCGGCGGCAGGTATGGAGCGACAGTGCTAAAGTCTTGGTTATCGTCGAGAGGAGTATTCTCTCTGAGGGCACCATTACCGAAACCAGGCGTTACTTGGACCTATCTCAAGACTTTGTGCTCCCAATTTACGCCATCCCAAGGAGGAACCGGACCGAGTGGAACGTCGAAGTAGGATATGGGAGAGGCACGGATCGAGTTGACTATCCATTTCGAACAAGAGAAAGCGCATTCAGGTTTCAGCAACTCGTGACCGACTACCAGCCAGTACAAGTGTTCGAGAACGTAACCTGTGTTGTTACGTACTACAGGAGATTGAGAATTCCCCTCCCACAATATGTGGGAACCGGACATATACAGTTCTGGGTGGAGGCCAGACATGACTCGAACCTTCCTGCCGTCAGTCCGTCGCCAGAATCGTCGGTGTCGAGTCAGTCAAGCCAGACTACCCCCAGAGCAACTAGCACCGCCTCGATACACAGCCTCAGGCCCAGCCTAGTGCAGACCTACTCAAACAGAACCGTTTTGGTGGTTCGCGACCCTCGACCTCCGCTGTTGGTTGCCTTTTTGAAGGATAGAGGAGGTGAAAATGAGTATACAATGTTGAAGATGAAGAGTAAGCTCGCTGTCTATTGAGTTTCACGTCTTGTGAACTGAGGACTGGCGGTATTGACAGGCATTCTCTCCGGCACTAGTAACAGACCTTCAAGCAACCGAAGCTACAAGCCCAAGAGAAGAAGCTCTCCTCCGAATCACCTCCAGCTTGTCGGAGCGCTTTCAGGTTAACATGCACCTCCAGAGGCCAGGCCCGGTGAGCCTGGGCGCGTGGGACTTGTGCGAGCGAGGACGTCCAGGTAGAGACGAAAGTCGAATAAGAGAGCTCAGGTGCAGCCACTTGGCCTTGAACTTTGGGAGCAACGGAGACCCGGCAAACATGGAAAACCGCAGAGATTTCTTCGACACCATCTTGCGTCTCCAGGTCAGCCATCTGGAAAGGCTGTCCAGACTGAACTCGATCAGAAATGAGGAGGTGGCACAGACTTCGCGCGAAATGCAGTTGCGATCACCGGCGGCGACTTCGGCCGCGGCGTCAAGGGCATCAGTCATCTCACCACCTTCACCACGGACAAGAGCCAGCATGCCAGTGCTCAGGCTACCCGAGATTCAGATCCAACCGGACATGTCGACCGCGTTCATCACGGCTCCATACCCAAGTCCCGAATTCGGGGTGGCGTCGACGAGGCAAGAGCTTGATACTCCACCATACCCAGTTAGGGAGCTTGATGCTCAAGCATCTCCGGTGAGAAGCCGTACGAGGTGGGGGAGGGGACGGAGGTGGGCAAGGGGTTCAACATAATGGTTTGCCAGGAGGAAGGAAAGGAGGGAATTCAGGGCCAACGTACGCAATAATCATGGGACGCAATCAAGGGTCATCTATTAATCAGGGTTAAGGTTCGGCGTTCAGGGTTATATGTGTATTCGTGCTGCGTACAATTAATACCCAATACTTTCGTCAGAGGAGGGGGCACGGACTTTGCGAACGTCGTCGCTGGGCTGGGACTCAGGGAGGGGACCTGGTGTGCCCTTTACTTCCGGGCTTCACCCTCATTGCTTTTTTGCTCTAAGAGTCGAAGTAGTAACGATTCGAGGTACCTCAGGCTACCTTAGGTTGTAACCATGCCACTCTCCGACAAGGACGCAGAAAAGGCAATCAGGGCCAGATACGAACCGCTAGCAAGGACCGCATTCAGCATCATTTACACAGAAAAGGGCAACACCGAGTCAGTCCTCAAAGCCGGGGGCTTTTGGATTGACGGCGAAGTGTACGACAAGCCGGCCTTTGCCGAAAATACAAGCGACCACCTGAAGCGTGAAGTTACGGTTTACGACGCCCTCAGGCCGCACCCACATATCACGGCCTGCCTTGGCCTGGAACTGCTGCCCGGCACCAGCGAGGCTTGGGCGCTACGACTCGAGCGCTCCCCATGGGGCGACTTGCGCAGCTATATCCTGAAGCACACCGCGCCCGACATGTGTGACCGGTTGAAGGTGGCCGTGGACTTTGCAACCGCCGTTCAACACCTCCATGACCGTGGCGTCATCTGGGGGGATCTGTCGACACGGAATGCGATCGTCTTCGATGGTCTCAACATCAAGCTCTGTGATTTTTCCGGGTCGAGTCTGCGGAATGTTTACCCCTGACGTTCACTTCTCCTATGAGCCACGATACTGGCCACCGATGCCGGTTGCCGAGGCGCCTGCCGACGGGAGCGTGGAGCTAGAGTTGTTCGCGCTTGGGACTGCAATCTGCGAGATTACAGAATGGGCTGTGCCGTACGGTCGTCCGGAAGAAGTGGATGAGGATGCTGTTCAGCGGATGCTGGCAAGGGGGGAGTATCCTCATGTGTCGGACGATAATCCAGCGAGGGATGTCATCTGGAGGCTGTGGCGTTTAGAGTACCGTTCGGGTGGAGATGCCGTCAAGGATTTGAAGGCCATCTTGAATAGCCTCGCCTTATGTCGTTCTGCTTCTCCGAGGGAAGGTAATCAAGGCTCCGCCGGTAGGCTTGACGAGCCTGAGGTTGACCAAAGTCATTATAGCGCACGCGGTGCCTAGCGGACAGTCAGGGCCGAGACACCGATCGACCCGACCGTTGACCAAGTCCGTCGTACGTGTTTTGTTTTGGTTGCTTCTCAGTCGAAAACGAAGGAGTGAGAGGGATCGAACTAAGGGCCTCTCATATCTGTCGGACGCTGTCACCTTCTACTCCCATTCGGCTACACAGGTACCTACACTAGGTACCTGTGTGGGGAGAGCTTCTAAGTTCAGCCCATTCAAGAAGTTAATACCAGGTGGTAATCCGTTCAAGAAAGTTCACCGGCACATCTCCGTTGTTGCCGTCGACATATTTCTAGCCGCCCGGACTCAAATGCGAGGATCAATCCGAGTGCCGTTACCCGAGGGACAAAAAGCTCCTTTCATGCCGTCTTCAAGTCCGGGATTCAGCTGCAGCTCTTATCATCGGATTAGCGTAGATCAATGTACTGGAGCTTACAACGGTAGCACTTATGGATGTATGACGCCCACTGGAGGTAGTACCTGACTGCCTGTAGGTAATATGTCTTCCGTCCCTTTCAGCCCCCACGGACGCCCAACGTGGAAGGTCAATTGGATCAGTCTACATGCAGCAGCAAGAGACATGCAAGTGACTGTACGCTGCAATCTGCTATCAGAAGAGGAGCATTGACCTGGCTCCTGAGTGGTCAGCAATCGGATCAGCACCGCAATATGGCAGAAGGTGATGCCAACAGGCTGATTGCCATCCGTCCTGTCGGGCCCATGTGCCTCTGCCGCAACAAGAACGGGGGAAGTCTATAGGACGGGTGAATCGTTCATCATCATGGCGGGCTTACAGCCGAAAAGACTCGATGAAGTACCTCGGTACAGGTCTACAGGAGACCCTGACGCGAGTGGAGTTGCCGCTACTGTAGCCTTGACAAGCGCAGTGCCGTTCCGCATGTCATTGCCGTCGACAAGTTCCTTGTCTAGGTTTGCTGCGTACCTTAGAGGCTAGCTGTCGGCCCAGAACTCGGGAGGGGGATACGGAATGGTGGTTGCAAAGGTTAGCTGCTACTCAATGCCCCCTGTTCCTTGGAGCGGTTCTTGGCCCTTGCCTCCCCCGCATTTACTAGTTGTCTCGGCGGCTTGGCGATTACCGCCTGAATTCGACCAACGGGCTGCCTAAATGGACTGTGTGCTTGTTGCCAACGGAAAGCAGTCCGCTTCCATTGCACCTTCCTGCACCTGTGTTCATCCCAATTCTCAACCTGGAATCCCAACAATTGAACAGCGATCTTCCTTTCTTTTCCATCACCTCGGCTTGGACGAGCTCTCTTTGCTTGACGCTGTGTACCGATCCATTCACAATCACTTCTCGGATACTTGCTCACAAAAGACAGCGCAGCCTGCAACTGGACATTTGTCATTGATGACTTTCCGTTTGTGCAATCACCCAAACCAACCCCCCGTGACGCTGTAGCTTTGTCGATCTAGACACATTTCACAGTCCATCTAGCCCCTTCAGCCTGGGCAACCCGCCATTCTACACCAACAGACCAGCAAAACGGTCCCAGATCTATCTGCCGAAGCCGCCCTGTTCTGCTGACAATCGTATTTGTGACAAGCTCCCACCAAGATGCGTTCTGGCCCTGGCATCCTTCTCCTCTCGGACCCATGTAGGTGCAAGACCGGTTCAGCACCGTCATCCACTATTCCTCAGCCCCGGTTATACTTACCGGCCTCAAGTTTATTGGATCCAGGAAGCTCTTTCGCTGCTGCTACTCCACCCCGTCATGGATGGCTCGGATGGAGGGTAACACGCTACCACATTTTGGGCCTTGGTCCGATGAGACCTTGGGAGCGTCCTTTATAAGAAAGCATTTTCATCTTCTCGGCCGCTGCGCTGTGTGCTCTAGCCTCCAGCCGCGAATCCGTCTCCCCCTTTCAAGGTCCCCGTAGCAGTGGTGACTTACTGCTGGTGGCGTCCCGGTTCTTTCTCCTCCAAAGCCACCCCTGAAGCGATTTCGGGCAGAAAAATATTCAGGCTTGGCGCCCGGTGACCGGCATTATGGTAGCCATGGCAGACACCGAGAAGGAGATTGGTGAGCAACAGCCAGCTCAGACACCAGAGCTTTCCGCTGACTGTGCCGGCCTTACTCTCACCCCTCCAGCGCAACACATCGAGAAGGAGCAGGTCAACACCTACTCAGCCAAGGATGGCGGGTCATCGTCAGACGAAAGCGAGCTGGAATGGACTGAGGAGGAGGAGAGGGCAATCCGGCGCAAAATTGACTGGCACACGGTGCCACTGGTGACGCTGCTGTACATGCTTTGCTTCCTCGACCGCATCAACATCGGCAACGCGCGCATCCAGGGCATGGCCGACGAGCTGCATCTCAACGAGGGTGTTCGCTTCAACTGGGCCCTGTCTGTCTTCTACATCGTCTACCTGACCGTCGAGGTGCCCAGCAACATCCTCCTCAAGGCTATTGGCCCGCGCTACTACCTACCCCTTCTTGTCTGCGGTTTCGGCCTGGTCTCGCTCTGCACCGCCTTTGTCAAGGACTTTGCGGGCCTCATCGTTGCGCGCGTGTTCCTCGGGATATTCGAGGGCGGCGCCATGCCCGGCATGGCCTTCTTCCTGAGTTGCTTCTACAAGCGCAACGAGCTGCTGTTTCGCATCGGCATCTACGTGTCAGCCGCCTCCTTCGCCGGGGCCTTTGGCGGGCTGTTGGCCACAGGTCTCTCGAGAATCCCCGAATGGGGCGCCGCCGGAGCCCGCCTCTACACCTGGCGCAACATCTTCTTCTTCGAGGGCCTCCTCACCGTCATCATCGGCGGGCTGTCGCCCATCTGGATGCCCACGACCCCGAGCGACGCGTATTTCCTCAACGAGCGGGAACGGCGCATTGCGGCCGAGCGCCTGCACCGCGAACACAAGGCCGACCCGGCCGAGAAAGTCACCATGAAGGACCTGAAGCAGGGCATCTTTTGCATCCACAACTACACGTGCGCGCTGGGCTTCTTCATCATCAACATCACGGTCCAAGGTGTGTCCGTCTTTATGCCCACCATCCTCAACGACCTGGGCTACACCAGCACCGAGGCGCAGCTGTATTCGGTGCCCCCTTATGTCATGGCGTGCCTGGTTGCCGTCGCTGTCGCCTGGGCCAGCGACAAGACCCGCCAGCGGGGGATATGGTTGGCGGCGTTTTCGCTTCTGGCTATTATCGGATTTGCCCTGCTGCGGTTTGAGACACGGTCCAGCGTCCGCTACATGGCTGTCTTCTTCGTCACGGTCGGCGCGTATCCTGGTGGTCCTGGATTCTTGAGTTGGGCTATGAATAGTAGGTGACCCTGCCTGGGTGGACGCGGCTTTGTTGTAACTGACCCCGTTTTTTCTTCCGGCAACTAGATTCGGCAGGTCCCTCGGTGCGAGCCGTCACCAGCGGCTACGTGGTCACACTCGGTACCATCGGTGGCATTGTCGCGACGTGAGTCTACCTACCTAATACTTGATGACCTCCAAAATCGGAACCTAGAACAATGTTGGCTGAACGGGTGTATAAACAGGTGGACCTACATCAAAGAGGACTCTCCCAAGTACTACACCGGCCACACCATCAACCTCTGCGGTCAGATTGCCGTCGTCTGTCTTGCCATTTTTGGGATTTTCTACTGCATGTATGAGAACCGTGCTCGCGCGGCGGGGAAGCGTGACCACCGGCTGGAAGGACTCACGGAGCAGGAGAAGTTGAAGCTCGGGAGCAGACACCCAGAGTTCAGGTACTGGACCTGAAGGGAAGTTGGGATATAAGTGGTTCTGTGTGTTATCGGCGGGCTCTGGGAGCCTGGATTCATGGGTCCAAGGTTCAACCCGAAACTTTGGAGGTTGGTGCTTTTGTAGGCAGAGACTCGAGGTATTTTCATGCTACTTTTTGAGACGAAGGACTCGGGACCATGTTTGCTCTGTGTACTTGGAGTCATGGACACATGAATGCACGTTTTTGACGTCGCGATGGAGTACACCAAATTGCTTGCCGGCCTGGCTGGGCTGCTCTGCTCTGCTGGCTGGCTACCAACCTAGGCCCGACGGGGTGGTTTCATGGTTTCATCACACACCTGCTGCGGTAACTTGCCTTGGGCCTAGGTACAGTAGCACTGAGATTTGACGACTCACTGGGGTCCAAGATGGACAGGAGTACAGCCTCACAATGCAACCTGGAGCTGGAAACTTGCCTTGGCCCACGGCGAGAACTAAGTAAGAGTTCCTGATGCAACCATGATCCCACACGACATGTACAGTACATGAGACTAAGGGCATGTGTAATACGGCACGATGGGCGGTTCCAGCCACTCCGGTACGGTCGACTCCAGTCTCCACGCTTACCCCGGATTACTAGTAATCATTGGACCCGCAGCGACGGATCCCAACTCTCCAATTCATACAAGGAATGCAAGCCCTGGTCTCAAATTCGGTGGGTTTCTTTGACCGAGATTGATCCTCCTAGCCTCCGCAAACTGCTGTCGGATCTGGCTGGGGATGCTGAGAATCTGGGGAAGTGGAGAAGTTAGAACACGGCCCGGGGGCACTACCTTGGGGGTAGTCGGTGAAGAATCACCACCCATCCGGGAAAATAAGAAGCTTGAGACGCTGGCACGCTGCAAAAGGACCGTGACAGATTGCTGCGAAAACAAGGGCTGATATGCCCATATAATTCAGAGACTGGTTGGATCATTCATTCAGCAGATGAGAGAACAGGGGTATCCGTACATTCTGAACTGATAGTGTACATTCTGAACATTTGCTATCAGTTGGCCTCCATCGTGGTCCAGGTCAACTTCTACTGTCCCGTGTGTATGTACATATGGGGAAGCATGGCATCGACGACGATATTATTCGAATCGACTACAGTCGGTTCTCCAGAACAGATACCAGGCGATCCACGGGTATTACAGATTAGGTACGTACAGACTCCGCGGGTTACTCCTGGCTATGCCCGCATAGATTCCAGGCACTACTTAGTGATGAGGACATCTCTCGCTTGAGGCTCTTGATGAGCCTACAGCCGGTTCTCCGGGGAAACACCAGGCGACCCACGGGTATTACAGATTAGGTACACACTCGCAGGCTACTTCTGGCTGTGCCCGCATACACTCCAAGAATTACTTAGTGATCAAGACGCTCCCGCTTGATGCCCCGGAGAACCCGGTTCTCTCCTTTCCCATCCTTCTTCCCCTCTGGTCCCGAGTCCTTAATCAACCCAAAGGCTCTCATCTGCGCCTCACTCATCTCCCCCCTGACCGCACACGGAGCCTCCCAGTTGGCATCACCGGCAGCCCGCTGCCCAGGAGGGTCCTTCCTGCGCCGCTTAGGAAGACGGCGTGGTAAGGTAGTATTCTCGTCGTCGTCCTCTGAATCCTCACTATGATCGTACATATTAAAGCCGGCGCAAACAGCGCTGTCGCCCACCACCCACATCGGTCGCTCGTAGCGTTGCAGGGCCAAGGGCTCTGCATCTTCTTTCTTGTCGTCCTCGTCCTCGCCTTTGATGATCGCGCGCTGCCCCGCCACCTCGCGCGCCTCACGCGCCTGCCTCTCGCGCTCCTGGCGGATCTTGCGCTCGACCTTGTCGGCCTCGATGCGACGCTTGATTTTCTCTGCGAGGGCTTCGTTGGCCTTCTTTTCCTTGGCGACTTCGAGGGCGTACTTTTGTGCCTCGGTTAGACCGTCGTCCTTCTCCTTTTCGGGCTGAATGGTGCGATCGCGGGGCGTGAGTTCCTCCCGCCCCTCCTTCTTCACAAGTTCTTTGGGGTCGACTTCACGGTGGACACCCACAACCTCGGCGAGGAACCGGGCAAAGTCGTCGATGCGACGGCCGTCCCAGGTGGCGGTCTGCACCTTGTACCCGCCGTGGATGAAGCAATGCGGCGTGTTGGCGACGATGGACGTGTTGATGTGCGGCGGGTTGTTGTTGGGCGTCTTGCGCGCGATGCTGTAGCTGGTGACGTCGCGTGTGGGTTCGCGGGCTTCGGCGTGCATGCCAACGAAGCCGGCAAGGCGCGGGTCGCTGGCGATATCGGTCCACGAGGGTGAGTGGAGGGTGTCGCGCATGAATTTGGTCACATCCACGTTGCGTGGCTCCGGGAAGGACGACATGGCTCCGTGCGCCGCAACAGCAGTCTCGCCCTGGCCGCCTAGAATCACTTTGTCGAGGCTACCGATAACTTTGGCTTCTTGGAGGAGGATCTGCGTAATGTAGGGCACCGACGTTGGAAGCAGGCCTACGGCGGCCTTGTCGGCGGCGCTGAGGTTTGCGTAGGGGAACGCGCCGGTCTTGGGGAACGGGAAGACCCATCGGATGCCCCGAAACTGCTCGTGCAGTGTTTTGTGGTTTTTGGTCTGTTTTGACGACAGGACTTTGGCGGGGAGCTCATCGTCGGTCACGGACTCGGGAAAACGGTGAAGGAAAACAACTGTGTGGGTGTGCTCCGAGGTCGGTTCGACCACAAATGGCTTGCTGAGCTTTTGCCGGAGGGCCATGTTGCCTTGCCGTCGGTCGATAAGTCTAAAGATGAAAGATACAAATGAGAAAAGTTGCTGCGGCTGGGCAGCTCACTGTCGATGCCGACCCGTTCTCGATATGACCATGAAAAAGAGTGGACAGCCAAGCTCAAAGTTACATTCGGATTATGAGAGACATATGGAATGAAGTCGTCGAGTCGAAGTTGGAAAATCGTCAGAAGACGATTCTCTGAAGTTGAATTAAGGTTGAGATTGAAGGTCTTATGAGACAAGGACTGTGAAGGCAGCTCAACCCTGCGCTAACCGAAAGTGAAGGCCCATTCTGTTTTCTTTGTGATTTTATTTTTTCTTAGTTGGAAACAGCTGGCGTTGGTGCCAACGGCAAGGCTGCTGTTCTTCTCAGCCAACTTACCCATCTTCGTCACAGACCACATAACTCATAACTTGCATGTCCCCAAGCCTTATTTACTCCAGAAAAAAGATACCTCCATTGGGGAAATTGTAACGTTTAATAGACGATCGATTACAGGTACTTAGGTGTATCCATGATTTGCAGGCCAGAGCCCTAACCCTGAACCGGGATACGCTTCCTTCGACCCCAACCCAGAGAAGGCGCAACCGTGCCTGAGGGGCACTTGCATTGGGCTGGTTTCATTACTGCACTTCGCATCTATCTCATCAATCTCACATCCCTTTTACCTTCTCACCGCTTCATCCCCAATCACCACTCTGATCATCATGGCCGCCGCAAACTTTGGCGAGCCGTCCCCACGGACAACTACATACCCTCCTCTCGCCGCCCGCCCGATCAAAAACACCATCTGCCTGTTCGATGTGGACGAGACGCTCAGTCCGGCTCGCAATGTACGTCCAACGCATGCTAACCAGCCGTATGACGCCTTACTCACCTCTCCCATCACACACACAGCCCGCCTCCCCGGAGATGCTCACCACGCTCTCCGCACTCCGGCACAAAGTCGCCATCGGCTTCGTGAGCGGCTCCAACCTCGCCAAAGCCCAAGAACAGCTCGGAAACCCGGCTGGGCAGCGCGTCACCGACATGTTTGACTTTTGCTTCAGCGAGAACGGGCTGATCGCGTACAAACTCGGCCACGCCCTCCCCGCGCAGAGCTTCATCAAGTGGATCGGCGAGGACCAGTACAAGGAGCTCGTGCGTTTTATTTTGCACTACATCGCCGATCTGGATATCCCGTTCAAGAGGGGCACTTTCGTCGAGTTCCGCACGGGGATGATCAATGTCAGTCCTGTTGGAAGGAATGCGACTAATGAGGAGCGCGCGGCGTATGAGGAGTTTGATCTGGAGCATAGGATTCGGGAGACGTTTGTTGAGAAGCTCAAGCAGAGGTTTGGGCATTTGGGTTTGACGTACATCTTCCCCTGTTCCGTTCTCTCGTTTGCTAGTTTGCTGCATGTGGTTTTCTCCGCTCACTCGTTTGCTCTTTCCCGCTTTCCATTGCTTTTAGTACATCAAACAGGGGCAAGACCGCCAGGTGGTGAGTACGATTCTGACCATAGCTTCATTCTAGCTATTCGATCGGCGGCAAGATCTCGTTCGATATCTTCCCAGAGGGCTGGGATAAAACCTACTGTCTACGACACCTGGAAAACGATGCGAGACAGCCCGGAGGTGTCCACTACGAGACCATTCACTTCTTCGGCGACAAGACCTTCCAGGGCGGAAACGATTACGAGATTTTCACCGACAGCCGCACCACTGGACACGTTGTCGAGGGTCCTGGGGACACTATTAGGATCGTCAAGGAGCTTTTCGGGGTTTGAATTGAGCCCTCTGTCTAAGGGTTAAGGAGGATAAGCCCCGGGTGTTTAAGGCGTTGGTAACGGGGCTAGTTCGGGGTCATAATGCAAGCAGATGAATTTGGTGTTGAGTGTTCATATCGCATTCTAAGTTCACCACCTTGATGATGGACCAAGTACCTTAACTTACATGTAGATGGCCTGGCGTATCTCCTAAAGCGGTTGGAGCTTTGCCATACTCCATCTACAACTTGACTGAACTGAACATCAGAATCAATCGGCTTGAAACCTCTGAATCTACTAGGTATGATGCAACTAGTGGTATCACACTTCACAAGTACATGCGATGACAACGAGATCCGCGAGCCGTAGTTTTACATGAAACATTTATGTAGAGTTCTCTACTAGATGCGATGCCTTCTGTCCTTGCCGTTGGGAACGGCATACATCTTTCAGGTTAAAGGTAAATACTATCAGGGGTATCTTATTAAAGTCGATAAACCAAACATAACAAAGAGAAAACACAGGTATCATCCTCTAATTCCTCAACGGCCAGTTATCATCCCACTCACGGCTATCAATGGAAATCTCATTTTGGACCCATATCCCTCCTGAGCCAACGCCACGACCGACTTTGTTCAGCCCGCGGCTCTGCTGGCCTCTCCTCTCATCGTAAAGACCGAGTATGTCATCAACAACAGTATCAGGGTCACTGCGAAGCCTGGTATGGGCGCCGGCAGGCCTGTTCAGCCGCGGTAGTATCGGTTCCGAACTAGAAAAAGACTGCACTATCGTGTGTGACGACGCCGAGTCACAGCGGAAGTCGGGTGTTTGCGGTTGGATACTATGCTCCATTCCAGAAGACGACGGGGGGTTCTTTTGCTCCCTCATGGACATGGTAAAGCGTGGTGGTGACTCTGGATCGTCGGCCTCCGGTGAGGTATCATCATCTTGTGTGTCCGCGTAACCGATGCTCGTGCCGCGCGTTTTGAGATATAGCGGTCTCAGGGTTGGTATGCCGAGGCAGATCATGGCAACGGTGATTTCAGCGCCTGCCCAGATATAATATGTTGCAAAGTTTACTGTTGGGAAGGTTAGGGACTTCGGTAAGCATGAGCTAAGAGGAGGCTTACATGTGTAGTCATTGGTGTCAAGTCCGGCGAGTACCACTGTCCTGACGATGCCGCATGCGCCAGCACTAGGAAGAAGCGTTTAGCGCGAGTAGCCTATGTTGACTTGAAAGAGGGATAGGACTTACATGACGCCCAGGCTCATCCCACTAGCAAGCATGGCCTTCTCTCGTCGAGGCATCCGGAGAGACCAAATAAACAGCCAGGGGAAAGCGGCAAAGAAGAAATCACAAGCACTGGACCAAGCTACAAGCCATCACGGTCAGCACACAGCAAGTCTCAACGGGGCACAGCAATGGTACGATTGTACGCACCTCCAAGCCCAACACTCATGGGCTGTATCCGAATGTTCCACGTCCCAGGTGTCCTCAAGGGATCCCAGCTCGCTTTTCTCGGAGTGGTTTGGTTCCACAGCATAACAGCCAAAGCAGACGATGTGCCAACCGTGACAGCGATAAGAATCCATAGAGCAGCTTTTTGCGCTTTATGTTGGACCACACGGAGCAAGAAGAAGCCCATTGAGAGCTTGGCCAGTGCGTTCCCCGTGATGGCAAAGGTGTTGGCGACATAGGTCCAGAAGATGGCATTTGACGAATCATCGACACTCAGGGTCCAAAAGCTCCGACCCAGGCCGTAGTGAACTGCGACCTGGATGCACGCGGCGAAGACGAGAAGGAATAGGCCGGTCCAGACATAGAGGTGATCTTCGGCGCCGACAAAGCGGACGATGCGTACTCGAGTGTAGAGTCGGAGAAATACCAGACCGAGGGACAGAGCCGTCATGACCCACATGGCAATCGCCAGCGAGTGTCCGCCGTGCATCTTGTCATCACCACATCGAGCGTTGAGGAAGCAGCGGTGGCTCTAGTAAGGTGATGAACAAAGAAAAGAGACTACATCTCACCCGTCGTGGTAGGCAGAAGGAGAGGCGCGAGAGGGTAGCAGCCGGGGCGGCAGGCGCAACAGCAAGTCGACTCAGATGTTGAGGACCACTGTGGTCGATCGATGGCGGCCTAAAAAACTTGGAAATAAAATCGAACACATTAGTTCAGCCATGCAACTAGACCTGTCCTTTTCCAATACAGAGCCACGCCACCACCAACGCAGTCTAAAGGCGTCGACTGTGGCCCGAGAGAGCCGAGGGAAAGTAGACATGAAATCCGCCCACAGAGAGTCAGAGATATTGCAATGTGCGCCGCCCCCATGCTCGCAACGAATCGGCAGGGCTTGCCAGGCCATCACAGACTAGTCGATAGATGGTAGTTCGCGAAGCACGCGGGTTTCTGGTCCCGCCGTCCAGATTGGCTGTTTTGCGCAGGCAGCCAGCCAACCAGATTGTGCCGCAAACTGGACAGGCGCGCCGCACCCGCCAAGAACTTTCCGTCCACCACAACTGCTTGTTAGGACATGCTGTTCGATCTTTCTCAAGCGCTCAGCAACCGCGCTATCGGACGCCCTGGTCAATCTTCTCGATCCTCTGGCGGGAGGTTATCCTATTTTGGCTTGCAATCCAACATAGCGCCCACCCGTGAACCTGGTCAGGAAAAGCCACAATACAGAGGGCTGATGATGTCATGCTCGAAATTGAAGGGCATTATTTTCAGGGGGTGAAGGCTTGAGTCGACAACACCCTTCACGCCGGACACAAGCATAAAGATATTTCACGAACAGTCAACTAGCGGCCAAGACTGGAAAAGGTAACTTGAAAACGAACAGGAATATAACTTACAAAGTAGATATGCATGATCGTCATTTTGATCAAAACGCCTCTCGACTCTGTGTCAGCCGCAGCACGACGAGAAGAGGCCCCTCCAGGAGACACCGTGACGGCTGCCGCTGAGTCAGGTATCTGGTGTAGATGACCCCCGCAAGCCGTGATCATGCAGGTACTTTCAGGCCAAGCTCGTGGTGGTTCCTCCCGCCGCAAATAATGCGGGCGAAACACGGCCAGTATTGCAGACCACTACTAATCTCGGTTTGAGGTGCTTTTACCCAGTACGTGCTAGTACAGGGCCCAACTTCAAGACCAAGACTGCCGCCACTGAACCATGGAACCAGCAATAGCCTTGATAGCTGATTGCCAAGCGGGATGCTGCTGCAGGGCGAACCGTTCTTCAGCCTTAGCAGCACTGTCGACCGCACTGAAGTATGAGTCTTGCCCAGGTAGACACACAATGTGCTGCTAGTGGCTGTGGGTGTCAGTATTCCGGATCCCCATCCTTCTAAGGCGAAGATTCCAAGTTGACTTCCAAGACTTGAAGAAGACGAGTTGTCTGCTCCTTCCACCTGCGTTTTGTCATATGGCTGTTTTGGGGCTTGGTAGTTGTCGTCCCCCATATGAGGATCCTTGGTGGTAAACGTTGGGCTCATCGCTCCTCTCAACATGACAGAAGGAGGCATATAGCCCGATCCCGTCCGAGATTCTGAACGCTTAGCGTCAGCCGCACGATTCACGTTGATAAGGTACAGCTTCAAGAGTTGTCAGCATGAATGGAATGAAATTGATCGTCCCGTGCTGAACGAGAGGTCTTACCAGTGTTATAGGGGCTATATCTCCGCTCTCGTCACACTCGGCTTGGCAGTAGACACTTCCTAAAAGTTATCATTTTAGCCCCCGATCGAGTGCGTTCATCAAGGCACCGGGTTGTGTGAGCCTAGACTGCTCAGGGAGTACAGTTAGTACTAAGTCGTTCGCTGGTGACATCGGGAGACGGAGGCCGATAGTTGAAAGAATGTTGGAAGTCAGTGACTCCAGTCATCTTCAGGCTCTTCGATGCCCGGCTTGAGTTGAAGATAGCAACCCTCTATCAACTCTTGAGACGAGGTGAGTGTCCTGTCAGATGGACTCCCTGGGAGCGAACGACGAGGTTGGACGCTCAAGTCTTCCAACTACAAGACGTTAGAAAACCTTTGAACACTCGTTGGCGTTGACCACTTGTGCCTGCGGCAGGGCACCCCTGAGCATCATCGCGCACGTGGAAAGTGGAACCTCGGGCGTTGGCTTGCCGAGAATCTTGACTTAACGCCGTCAACCCTCTTCTGCAAGAGAGAAGTCTGCTTGCCTCTTGCTGCGATGAATATTCGAAGTCAAAGTAGCTGCGAAAGGGAGAAGGTGCGTCTGTGGATGCATATCGAAGAAAATAAAAAGGAGAAAAAGAAACACAAGGACAGGGAGATGATGGTTTAGAACTCTAGGGTCCAAACAAGATCGGATCTTACGTGGATCCTATGTGAAAGATGTCAATGGAAGACTGATTGATTCTGACATGCGAGCAATCGCACAATCGAGGCAATCCCGTCTCACCTACGCCCACGGGATAAACTGCAATGCAGAGCTGTCCAGCAGGGTCTCAAGACGCACTTCAAGAAAGAGCACATCGCCAAGTCGCAGATAGCGATTGGTAAACGGCAACCACACTCGGCCCCACTTACCCTGGCCCCACTTGATTGTGATCACTGATTGGTGGGGATTGAGTGGGGGTTGTCGCGCAGAATTGCCCCGCCTGTCTCTTGCTCAACACAAAAACCATCATCAATTGGCCATGGAAATTGCGGGGTCGTAAATGGTCACCCAAGAGATCAAGAAACAAAAGACGAATGAAGAGACGACTCTGTGCTACATGACATCCTCCCCGAGTGGAACAACGAGTGTCATGAGTTAGCTGCTGAGCAAATGGTAGCTCAAGGGATGGAATTTCTGTTGGGTGTGTGTCACCAGATCGGGCGAAAAACGTGGAGCCTCGGCCTGCAGCATGGCTGCATTGGCTGCATCTCCCGCTCCGTCACGAAGCGAGCAACACCTGCGGCCTATCCCGCGACTCGGTCGATGCCATTCGCTGCCACTGCCTTCTCCTCGAGCAAACTCGTGAGAGCTCTCCTCATGCACGAGGTGGTGTGGAGATGGACTGCACATACATACACTAGCCGCACGACGAGCTAATCTATTGAGCTAATACAGTAAACGGCTTCTGCAGGAAAGCCGAGGGAGGCCCCGCGGGATCTAGGCCATATCCTAAGCCGTCGAGTTCGCATGCTGCATACGTACACTCACCTCAGCGTTGCCTCCTCATACATTTGGCGTCATGCAACCAGATTGCTGCGTCTCAACTCACAATCACTTTTTGCGATCCCCATGCAGAAGACGTATAACAAACGTTGATGTCAACAGCGCCCATCAAGCATCACCATTCGACTCCCGTCCGCCACAGCGTTTCAGGGGATGCCGGAATAGTCGCCAATAGTTCCGTCCAGTCCAGATAACGTGCTTCGGGAGCAACTCGGAACCCCATCCATCTCTCATCTCGGAATTGCCGCTGGTTTCCAGACCTCTTTGCTCCCCTGGATTCGGACGGGTCTCGGATCCGCTAGTGCCTGCTAGCGAATCCAGTGTGCGCGCAACTCTTCCGAACCGAAAACGAACTCCGGCGCTGCGAGCCAGCGCCAAATTGACAAACGGGTGCTTGCGATCGGTGGAGGTAAGCTACTGGGCGGAAACCCTTCCCGCTGCAAAAGCCCCCACCATGGAAACCATCTCCAGGCGCTAGAAGGACAGGCTGTGTCCTTGAGTGGAGATGCTAGCAATTATTAAGCTGCGCAGCCATGTCTTCTTCAAGAGAGACAATGCTCGAGCTATTCTCAAATGCACTCTCCTAGGAACATATGAGAATTGGTTTGCTAATTGTATTCTTGTTTGCCTCCAGACCCGCCGTTCCGACGCCGGCCACGGACCCCGGGCCACTACGGAAATCCTCGGTTATCGTTTGCGCCGTTGTCACCCCGCCCAAAAAGCAGCCCCTCCACGCCGGCCGGGCCGAGTGGTGCTCGACGGCGAAAACTCGACGGCACCATGTGCAGGAAAGTCGTCTTCAAAGGGCAGTGCACAGAATGCAACAACACCTTCACCTGGGACGAGCTCTCGCAGGAGCTGAGCTGCCTCGAAGCCAAAAACAACGGCGTGTTTGGCATGTGCAAGGAGGGCGTCCATGTCGACGAGAAGCCCCATGACCAGGAGTGCGACCCGTGCTTGGCCGAGATGGCGGCTGACGAGGGCTACGATGGCGGTACGGATGAGGTCGAGCCGTTCGAGTTTGGCGGGGCTTGGTATGGGGGCAAGAAGGAAGCCGCTGACCGTGAGCAAGAGAAACACAAGGACAAGAAACAGCGGACAACATGAGAACACGCTACCGATTCGAGTCCCAACAACGAGTGGCATGCTTGGCCGTTTATTTTTTTTATTCCGTCCTCGTTTCTCCGGCGGTTATCTGATCGACACCTGTTACAACCCGCCCCGGCGTTCGCATGCATTCCCTCGCAATACCGAGCTTGTTAAACGTTTGAACGGCGCATCTGAGAGGGATAAGAACGGAAATTTGTGATTACGGAGGCATTGGCGCAAAGAGTCGGCGTCTTCAGCCTGGAGGGGTCAGGGCTGAGCATGTGCTAATTACCCTGTAATGTGGTGGGAACATCATTGATGTTCATTTGTGCTGATGTTTGCATGGCGATTGGCCAAGGGGCTGTATGGAAAACATTGCCGTTACGAGACCACGACTGCGACGAGTTAACGAGAATGATCGACTAGATCTGGGCGGGTGGGCATGGGCAAGGCTGATCATGGGTCTGCGACCCGACGTGGCGTATCTGGCATAGACCTTGAGGCGGCTACAGCGGCCGTGTACGAGAGGGATAGAAAGTAATGATATTACGTCCCAACCCCAACCGCTCTAGCGCGCAGAGTTCGACCGATGCGATCCCTGCATGGTATCCATGATATCAGAGCCATCCCTCCCTCTCTACCACCTCACCAGGTCACCTCACCAGGGCGTCAACCCTCATTCCACCCCTTCCCAAGTCTCTTTCACAACCCACCAATACCTCTCCGGCTCCTTCCTCATATGCGCAACATGCTCACTTCCCTCAAACCGTTCCCTACGCACCACAAACCCCTTCCCCTCCGCCTCCCGCGCATGCGCTTCCACATCTCGCCAATCAACCAACTTGTCCCCCTCCGAATAAACATACGTCCGCCGCACCTCCACCCCCCCTCCCCCTCTCCTTCCCCCGGGACCTGGACCTTGAGATGAACTGTTCAACCCCCTAGCCGTCCTTGCCAACGGCCCTGTCTTGCCGCGCCCAATTACCGCATGCCAGAACCAGTACGACGCACACATGACGTGGAACAGAGGAGATAGGAGTAGTCGTGTGAGCCCCGTGATGCCGGTCATGAATGCTTTGTGGCTGGAGCGGTAGCGGAATGTGCCCGGGCAGGAGTCGAAGAGGATTGTGTGTGGTGGGAGGGTGAGAGGTGCAGCTAAGTGGCGGATATGTTGGAGGGCGGCGCACCCGCCGTTGGAGAAGACGTGGATTAGTAATTCTGGCTCGGGCTTAGGTGCTGGGGTCGGTTTGTTGTCGTTGTTCCCAATCTCGGTGGGTTGACTTTGGGGAGGGTTGCCGTTGCCGTGCTGGTGGTGAGGTTGAGCTTGAGGTTGGTAAGGGAAAGCTTCGCGCAGCACGGGCACCGCGGGCGCGTATTCTCTTACAGCCCGAGCCCGGCCTCCAATTCCGAGGAACCCGAACCCGGGCAGTGGGATGGGAATGAAATGCCGCGGCTCGGAGCGCACCAGGAGGATGGTTGCTGACGGGTAGAGGGCTTGGTATTGGACGAGGTACTTGGCGATGTGTGGCTCGCGCGCGCCCATCCAGGTCATGAGCAGGATCATCTTCGGCGCTGGTTTGGAACTGGAAGGGGGCGCGCCGTTGGCGGTGGGTGTGGAGCTGGAGGGTCGGTAGAGGTAGACGGAGGGCGAGAGCTTTTGCATGAAGGATAGTGGGCTTGTGAGGGAGCCGGTTGGTGCGTTGGATGCCATTCTTGCTTGGGTCAGGTCGGTCTTCAAGTTGGTTGAGGGAGGCTGCTGGGTGGGTTCAAAGTTCAGGTTGCTGTCGATGCGTTCCCGTCACGATGCGAGCGCTCTGCCAGAGTGTCTCTGTACAGTACAGTATTTGCACAATAAGTCCAACTCGCGTTTCACCGGGGTCCTGGAGGAATAAATACCGCGTCTGCCCTCAGCCTCGGCTATCACCTAGATTGTGAACAGATGTTGGTTATGTATGTTGGACCGTTGGTCGGGCGGTTCTACGGTTCTACCCCAACAGTGGGGGTGAACGCTCCAGGGGTGGCATCAATTTATCCAACCGCCAAGAAGCGCTTACACACCTCCCATGTGGCATCCTGGCCTTCTGGAACCCATTCGACTTGGATGCCTGAGCCCTGAAAGTCCCCGAGAGTTTCGAGAACAACCCGGCTCCCCTGTGGTCTTGTCCCCGCCTACCTAGTACCTATGGGGTGTTGGATACCATAGCGCTTGGAGATTTGTACTTGATACAGGGTTGTAAACATTGTTTGCGCCATCTTAGATGCCTCTCAGCGAGATAACGGTTAAATCGATGTGGGTTGAGCCGAGGCATTTCCTAGTTGGGTTGGATTTTGCGACCCAGGAACCCAGCTTACAGGTGTAGGGCCGTGCAATGATCAGGATGTGTTGCGAGACGCGCATCTTGGCTCGTTCTCAACAGTCGGGACTGGAGTGCCAGGACTCGTCCTGCGGCCTGTGAAAGGCACCGAGCTCCAGGCCGCACGGTCGAATCCCATCCATGGATGTATGTACTGTATCTTATACTTCGTACGCAGCGACCTCGAAAGTGTTTTGGAGCCCGCTCAATCGCCTGGGTAGCAAGCATGATTCCGTATCCGTAGTTGAGATCAAATCACCATCGCATTGCAGCATTGCAGCATTGCAGCATTGAGAGTTGAGAGTTAAGAGTGAGAGGAGTGAAACGGGCAACGACATACAAGTAAAGTGACAAACCAAGACAGGGCAGAGCAGGGAAAAGACACTCAACACTGAGAAACACCACACCTCAATGACAGGCAAATACCATCACACAAACACAACCGCATTTGGAAAGAGAACCAGTTGCCTTCTTTTGTCCTAATATACACACACACACACAGTCCTGGCAGCTAACAGCCAAACCTCCTTTTTCCTTTTCGGTTTCCTCTCTTGCTCGTGTCGTGACCAGCCGCAACCACCCATGTCAAGTCAAGGTAGGGCAATTAAACGCACAGTTCAAGCCCAGGGGACACGCCTGCCTGAAGAGAGAATAAGCGGTAGCGGTCAATAGACACATGCCGCTGGCAGAAGCCCAGGAAGAAGGCTCGGCTGTCCGGTATTAGTAGTGAATGGTATCAGGGTCCGGTCCAAGTTCAAAGCCTTCAGTCAGGTAGTTCATACCAAGCGCATGGAGTTTGCCATCATCAGGAGGACCGATCAGTCAATCCCAGCGACGCAGGCATACACAGTTGATGCATGCATGCATAGGCGGAAGAAAGGCCTCGGGACGCGCGCTGTCAGAGCTACACATCAACCCGACGGATAGAGACGGTGACAGTGACGACAATGTTTCAAGCGGCGGTACGGCTGGCAGTCCCCACGAGGAGCAATGGGGTACCGGTACAGCGGGATTGGGCCGCGAACGAGGGCCGCGAACGAGGGCGACGAGTCACGCCATCCAAACCATGCATCAAAAGCAAGGCACAACCCCACCGTAGTAGCAGTCCCCAAACGACAAGGCTCATGGCTACCATATCAAGCAGGCAGCAAAAGTTGCAAGTTGCAAACAGGTTGTGTCGCGTGGACGCACTCGCGGCCGACTCGGAAAAAAAAAGTTGGGTCCAGAGTGGCAGAATGCTTTCAAGGGCCGATGACTTGGTCTTGGAGGCTGTTGGTTGGTTGGAGTCGAGCAAAAGATGTCGCAAAAAATCCGCGAAAGGGCGCCAGATGGAAAGATCAGCGCGGGTACTTGTACAATCATGGAGCAAACAGAAATCCGGTTACGCCGGCGACAGGCGCGATAGACCGGGCGGCGCTCATAATACCGCATGCCCAAGCATCATAGAAAACTTCTTTTTTGCCGTCATGCAGAGATTCAATGGCGCAAAAGGGTCAAGACTTAGCATCGAGCAAATGACGGCGGCAAAGTCAGGACGCATCAACGAGTTGAGTGGGCGGGTCAACATCAAAGCGCATCAGCGAACCTGGGGGCAACGCGGCGACTTTACGAGGTCCCGGGCGCCTGGGTAGCACCTCCTTGGCCTTGGGCCTGCTGAGCGGCAAGTTGGGATTGCCACCACAGTGCAATGTAGTTTTCGTAACCACCATCTGTTGCTTGAGTTAGCAATGGCTTGGAGACCAAACACTCAAGGAAGATGCACTCACACATGGCATACGGGTCAGCCTGGTTTCCGCCGGCGGGCGCAGCTGGAGCCGCACTAGCACCACCGGCGGGCATGCTGGAAGGGGCGCTGTTGCTGTTAGAAGCCTGACCGTAGTTGGGGTTATCATAATCGCGATGCTGCCCGCGGCCACGGCCGCCGCCTCCACCCGACTTTTGTTTCTATGGCTGGGTTAGCATGTGTTCCAGCAGCGGAGCGATTCAAGATCTGTCACGACGTACCGCAGCATCCACTTTCTCCTCAATCGCACGCTTGGCCCTGGCGATCGAGTCCCGGGTGCCAACTAAGCCGATCTCTCGCTCGACCTCGCCGGGTCCCGAAGATTGGTTCACATTGATCTTGCAGCCGGTCATGTTCTGCATCTCCCTGATCGTCTCACCACCTTTACCAATGATCATTCCAACAGCATCCGAAGGAACGTAGATGGAGTCGTTGATCTTTTCGCCGCCGCCTCCGCCGAAGCTTTCTCCTCTGGGGGCCCGACCAGCGGCAGGGTTGTTGCCATTCCGACTGTCACTCTCCACAATTTCGAGGATGAGCTCTTTGGCGTGACGGGCAGCAGCCGGCGGGCCGATAAGGTTGACCGGGCGAAGGCCGTTGACGCTTTTGTTCTCGCTTACGATGTTGATATGGCATCCGCTTCGTTCCTGCAGATCGCGGATTGTCTCTCCATGACGGCCGATGATCAGGCCCACGGTTCTATCGGGGACCATAATCTGCGAGCTTTCCTCGCCTTCCTTGGGGAGAGGGGGCGGGGCAGTGCCACGGCCACTATCCCGACCACGACTCTCACCACCGGGCGCCGCGGCACCGCGCATGCCGCTGTCACGAATAATGCTGTAGATCATCTCTTTTGCCACGTCGCGCTGGGCCCGGGGACCAGTAATTCGGCATTGGCGATACTGATCGTTTTGGCCAGTCGGCGGGATAAACTGGATGCGACAGCGGCTCTCGCCTTCGACGCGGCGCAGATTCTCGCCTTGGCGGCCAATGATGAGTCCGACGAGGCTGGATTCGACCTCGATCGTCTCAGAATTATCATCCTTGCCTCGCAGAGGCGACCGGTCACGCCCGCCACCACCATGGGCGCCGCGCGGGGAGAAGCCCTGGCGGCCGCGGCCGGGAGAATAAGAGCGCTCGCGGCCATAGTCACCACGGCCTTGGTCGGCGCGGCGTTCGTCGCGGTATGGGTTGAAGTTGTCGCGATACGAGTCTCTGCCCCGGGGAGGGCTCTTGGATCGAGACCGTCCGTACTGCCGCGAATCGGACTGACGCTGGTCAGGATACGCTCCAGCAGGCCGATCGTATGGGGTGACGCCCTTCTCCGCTGCATATGCCTTGGCCTTCGCGATTGCATCGGCTAGTGGCTCAGGCACCGCCACAGTCCCGGAGTTGACGGGCTGTATTTTGCTCAGGTCAATGCTGCCGGCGGCAGTCGGCTGAGGGTATGGGTATTGAGGGTGAGGCTGGTAGGGAGCCGTTTGCGCCTGATACGGATTCTGAGGGGGTTGCGCATAGGGCGCGGATGGCATAGGCGGCACGACAGGTGCTTGATAGCCAGGCTGACTGTGGGTAGGAGTCGAGGTTGCCGCGCGCTGCGTGACATTGCCTGATTGTATTTGATTAGAATCACGCCGGCTGGGCTTGCATTAATGACGCGTGACTTACCCAGCATTTGAAGAATCGAATTGATATCCGGCGCGGGGTTCGCCATTTTGTTGTCTCTGCACGCCGACGGGATCGCGCAGGCTGTGGGATAATCGACTTGGGTGCTTTGTGGTGCGAGATCGAGCTGCGCAGGCGGGGATAGCCCGTCGTTGATTATGCGATCTGATGCGACGCGCGACGCGATCTGATGCAACAAATATGATGCGCTTGAACAGCTGAACGTAATTTAACTGGGAACGTCGATGCCTGCCGAGCTAAGAACGATTAGATGCCGTCAACAATGGTAGGTAGGCTTGATGGCGCCGAAGTCGATGAAAGTTTAACGAAGGTGGGGAGGGTACAAAGAAACGTCGATGCGAGCTTCGCAATTGAAATGGAGACCGACCTGAAATGAAGCGCGATTGGAAGAAAGGATGCGCGACGCAATTCGGATCGCTGAAAAAGCTCACAATGTCGACGACGACCAGTCGATGTGCTATGCAGAAATGATTGAATCGAGTTGAAATTTGCGAAAGCAAAGTCGGCAACACTCGAGTACAACCCTTGCAATTTACTTTGGTTGGTGGTGAGTGTGACGAATGGGGAAACCAGGTGGCTAGCGCGGATATGAAACTTTTGAGACCCTTTGCCAGGTGGTGGCAGGGGTGCGCCACAGCACCTGCAAAGAATCGCATTGTGGCTTTACTCCCGTCTGGTGAATGTGGTGCTTTTCCACGTGACCAATTGTGCACCAATTGTTAAGGAATCACCACAAGCGGAAAGAACCGCACACGCCTCGAAAGTCAAAACCAATTCACAACTTCCAATTCAGGCGCTTAAAACTGGAACCTCGGCTTGCCTTGAGCCACGCAGAGCATTCTTATATCCTAGCCATAAGTTTTCTCAACCAGCATCATTATCGGCCAACTTGTGGTCTTTTTTTCAGCGCTCTTTGTCCAATACCCACTCACTTGCTACCCACCAGGAATCGCATCAAAAGTCAAGAAGTTCCGTGAGATACTTGTACCCTATAAGCTTTCTTCTAGTGGCATTTATTATTAGCACGTTACTTGGACCTTGTTGGTGGTAGACAGGGTCCCTCCGTTTGGAGTGGGCAAAAAGCCTGGCAACCTAGATCATTCCCTGGATTCTTCTTGCATCGATAGGAGGCCTTTTGAATCAGAACAGGTAACGCACACTTCCTTCAGCGCTTGCGAGACTCTGTTACTGCGGGATAGCCATCTTAGGGCCTTAAGCAACACTTATTCTGCTCACGGGTCACCTGTGAGACTGTTAGACAGCTGTGAACTGAACGGCCCCTTGCATACATTCCATGTGTTACCTCCAGTCAAGCATCCACAGAGCGGATCAACAAGTCAGCCTTCGTCAGCCCCCGCGTCCCCTCTCTTGGAGAGTTACCAAGAAAAGCAGCATTCGTTGATGAGATTGCATGACACTAGACAGGATTCACTGAAAGCCCAAGCGCACGTCGAGTACGATCGGATCAAGGGAGACAGGCACAATGCCATTACTTAGTCAATCAGTGTGGTGAGTGTCCCGGTTTCTCTGGATGAGCTCATGGTCCGAAAGACGAGGATTGTTTGTTAGTGAACTCGAGTTAAATTACGTGTATCTTCAAACGACTACGATGTGGCACCCTATGAAGCACGCGTCATTCATGTGCTGTGGGATCCCGTCCCCTCGGATGACTCGAGATATCTAGCTTTTCCTTGGAATCCAGCGGTCAACTTCAAAGTCCAGTTCCACAGAGATATCAAACACGGCTCCATATGGCAACTTTCTGCTCAAGAATCGGACACTTCAGTGAGACATAAAATCGTACAGCTTTCAACCTCACTCGCTGTGTCACTCCCGTTGTCCCCTTTGGGTCCCCTACATAAGTTCGTCTACTTAGCCACTGCCCTTCGCTTCAAGGTCTTCCTCGTTGTCTTTACATCTTCGTATCATTCCTCTACCCCTAATCACGGATATCGACCCGACTCAGTCTCAGCCTGGTTACTACCTACTAGGACACCTGTATCTGCGACCCGTCCACCGTCAAGTCAAGAGCCGACAGACATCCTTTACATCCCATATCAGCCCACTCCGCTAACTGTCAAGTTCAACATGGCACCCGTCACCACGCTCTACGATCTTCTCTACGGCGCCCTCGCCGCGATCTCAGGGGTAGCCGCCTTCCCTTCTCCACCCAACTTGAGGATATTGGAGCATGCTCCCCCAGGGATTCGCTACGAGATACCGAAATCAACCCGCCGCTGGATGTCAGTCAAAAACACGGCTCCAAAAATCAGCCAGCATACCCAACAGTTGCGCGCAATCCAAGGCCCAATCACCACCAGTCCTGGGAGCTTGCCCAACGGCCGGTCCGCAGCAGCCGTCCTGGGCGCTAACCAGCGACATGCCGGAGGCTCCGGATACCAGAACATCACCACCGCTTCCGCCTACGGCACGCAGTACGCGATCGAGGCTCTCTGGGATGGCCAACCTCTGTCAATGCTGCTCGACACCGGGTGTGCCGACACGTGGGCAGTCCAAAGAAGCTTTAGCTGCGTCGGCAAGGATCTGGAGTTTGTCAAACCCCAGACCGCTTGCGCCTTTGGTGGCGGGTACTACCCCGAAACCTTTGGGTACGGGCCGCACGACCCCAAAATGTTGATGCTCATCAAGTACGGCGACGGGGAGGTCGTGAGTGGCGCCATGGGCTTCTCCGACATCACGATTGGAAATGTCACGGCCAAGAGGCAGCTCGTGGGCCTGGCTAGTACCACGCACTGGTTTGGGAATAACCAGACGAGTGGAGTGGTGGGCTTGGCGTTCCCGGCGCTTACGCACGGGTATAGCAATGAGACTGGAGGCAGGGTGCAGTACTCTCCTGTGTTCACGACCATGGTCAGCCAGGGGGGGATCGAGCCTGTGTTTAGCATTGCTATTGACCGTAATACGTCCACGGGGGTGCTTGCCCTTGGTGGGATTCCGCTGGTTGAGGGGATGGATTATGGCGAGGTTGCGAGTTTGGATATGATCATTGTGGGTTTGGATTTCTTCGACTCTTGACTGATATCCCGCGGGAGGGTAAGTACTGACAACGCAAACAACGTGACAGACACGGGTGAACTCCATCCCGGAAACGGCCAGCGAGTACTCCTTCTACACCGTCATCCCGGATGGCTGGTACTACGACCAGACCATGAACACCAAGAAGTACCCATACATTGTCGACAGCGGCACAACGCTCTGCTACCTTCCCCCAAGTAAGCATTCCCTTCTCGGCCGCTATCTTTAATCACCCACCTCCCAGTTGAGGACACCACACTGCGCCCACTCCATTACCCCCATCACCCCAAATTCACCACCATCAGGCCCCGCCACGGCAAAAGAGATATTAACTAACCTATGCCCGCAGCCCTCGCAGAGAGTATAAACTCCGCCTTCCACCCCCCCGCCCTCTACAACCCACAGTACAACGCCTACTTCACCTCCTGCGACGCCATCCCGCCACGCGTCGCTGTTGTGCTGGACGGGATCAGGTTCTGGATCAACCCGGTCGACCTGGTCTACCGGAACCTGGCAGACCCGGAAACGGGCTTGTGCATGACGGCGATTGCTGACGGCGGCGTCGAGGGGCCGTATATCCTGGGTGATGTGTTTATGCAGAACGCGCTGGTGGTTTTTGATGTTGGTGCCGGGGTTATGAAGTTCGTTTCGAGGGAGTATTAGTACTAAGTAAGTAGCATGACTGGGGCTGAGGGTTGGTGGTGCCCGACTGCATGTGGGTGAGTTCAGGCCAGGCCACGGCATATGATGCGGTTGTTGCTGGGAGGTGGCTGGAAGGGTGCGAGCGGTGTATTCGGTGTTTGGTCACGGGAGGTCCTGATGGACATGGAATAGCCTGTTGTCGGTCGAGGATGGGTGGAGGTATGGTCGTGCGGACGTGAGGTGCCCTACTTCATGTTGGAGTCGGTACTTAGGTGACCTACTAGAGAATCGAGCGTGCGGTGAGTTTGAATCGTTCTTGTTTCCCAACCATCTCCTTCCACTGTTTCCAGTCATAGAATTATTCTGAGCTGCCCTGCAATCCCTTTGCTCTTGTCAGATTGTTGCACCGGATGCATGGCATCTACCCTGGCACTCTGTCTCTCATGGATCTCGGTCGGTAGAGGTATGTGGTCTAGCGTTCTCGGTGAGGAGTCCGGTTCGTAGGCCGGCGAGTCCCTTTCTGGCAGGTAGGTCGTTATCAATGGTTATAGGCCTCGGCGAACGGAAGCCGGGAGAGAGAATGTCGAGGGAGCCCTTTCAGGGGTTGCTGTCGGTATCGCCCATTCTGGGAAGAGAACCCTGCCCAATCTCTCTTGATGTATTTGGCCCCTTGAATTACTCTATCTTGCTCAACATCTGACAGTGTGAATCGTCCCTAGCGCTCTGGCGTAAGCAACACAAGTCCCGGCCATGGTGTTGAGCTTCGTACTTTGAGCGTGCACCTCACACAGCACAGCGTGAAACAGCTTGACGGACCTCCCTCTTCCGGGGCTTCATGCTTTATATACTATGATGCTCTGTACGAGACCCAGTCTGCCAATACGGGCTTTATGGACTTTGGAACCCCGAAATCCGAAAACCGTTAGTTATACGCGGATGTCCACTAGCATCGTGTCTCGGCCGCCGAGCACCGGGACTCGAACCGAGTTTGAACCACCTGACGACATGAGACCCGCAACAATGCCTGTACCGCCATGCCGTGTCAGTAGTAGTGTACAGTACCTGATCTACGGGCAGTACATGAATAGCACAACATGAAGGCGCCCCGTCCGTGTCTCGAACATGTACCCGTACCCGTACCCCACATCACCGGCACTTGAGACATATGAAGGATGTGTGTAATGCCGTGAAACGCGGAACGGGCCTTGCCTCGCCGTGCTTCCTGTTTCTGCTCCTCCCGGACGGCAGTTGTACCCGCAACTTACCAGATACCTACTAGAATATGAAGAAATGCAGTGGACGTTGCTCGAAGGGGCCGTACCGTAGTCCTGCAGCTGCAAATGCCCTTTACCCAGACACCACGCACCTGACGGGATGTCACTACATATAGATGGGAACTCAATTTGAAACACCGGAACCTTCCCCTCGACCCCGGCTGAGTCTCGGCACCGGGGAAAGGGTTGTAGTTCGTATCTAGGTATTTAGTATCTACGGCGTATATAGAGTATATGTCGAGTCCACTCCCGCCGGCTTCCATAACGTGGTGGCCGTGACATTTGCTTGTTTCCTACTGCGGGCGTGTGTGTGGGCGTACCTGTTGACGGCTGGGGGATGATCATGATGGGCACAGTCGGGTTTGAAATCCATGATTGCAACTGTAAGGTACCTTATTCTTGACTGTTCCGCCCCCGGGGCTTTTAATCTTTGATATGGGCTTCGCAATTGCTTGTTAATGACAAGAAGATGGGGCTTGCGGCGCCTAGCAATGAATTGGCTGGATGACAATCTAGAGAGTAACGAGGATCATGGATTCGACCGTCGATTAAGTTCTCGCAACTACTAGTATTGCACAAAGATCTCAATGTACATGATCATGTGCCGGTTCCTGGTCTCAAGCTTATGGAGATCAGGCCCGGGGTATTCATGTTGTGTAGATGGTTTCGTTCAGCAGCTTCATGGTTATACTAGGTCTCTCCTTAGGTGTTACAATACATCTAGATGTACCTAGTCGCTTGTCAGGAGGTAGATTCTTAGATACCCACACGTCTTGTTCTGGGATTCTCTAGACGCCAGGATGCTGTAGCCCTGAACCGTCAACATAGGTGCCTCACTGCATTCCGAAGTTCACGGTGCATCAGGCTTTGACAGTTCTATAGGTTCCGACCTCACTGATATTCGTGCTGTCGGGTCCTTCAGGCTTTACCGCATAAACTCAAAGCAAGGCACTGGTCTGGTGACTCGTATTAGGCATCATAGAAGCCCCAAACACTGTGGGTTGCCGTCCTATCTTAATAAGGCCGGCCAGGCATCGCATTCTTTCTACAACCAAAGTTTAGTCGCACAAGGGACAGCCATCCGTCCAAACTAACTGGAAGCAGGTAGCCTTACAACAGCCACGCTCCCAGGCCCGGAACCCGGGTCTTCGGTAGAATCACCAGCATCTGTGGCCCCAATTCCCAATTCCATCGGAATGTAATGGCAAGTTTGAGGTTGCCTAGGTAGTTCACATTGCGATTTAGGGAGGTGAAACAGAGTACGCAATCATTGATAACTGCACATCGGACTCGGACTATGCCCTCGGCTGCATGTAAGTCGTCAGCACGGCAAGGAAGTGCGATTTGCCGAGCCAAACTCTGGGTACTACCTCGAATCCCGACTACCTTAGATAGTATGAGGCTTCTCCATGCTGGGCTTACTACGTTTGTCACTTCGTTGTTAGTCTGATGACCATGGATATCCACATGACAGCCCAGCCGTCAACAGAGAGTGTAAGCCGAAGCCCGGTTCAATATGTATCATCTCGTATGTGCTCCGTATCATGAGTGATAATGTACAGCATGCCCGCAGAAGATAGTATCATATCAATCTTTAGGCAGATGACCTACAGGGTTCATCTAAGGGTCGAAGCTAAGTTAGTACCCAGGTAATCGCTACTAATCAGCCGCCTCCGATCCAAGTCCCTGTCCCTTGCTGCATTCACCTCGAGTATCATTGATCGGAATTCGGAAGGAAGCGGTCAGTCATGGAAGCTCTCGAAAACCGATCGCGGCAGGTAGCACAATCAGCCCATACCTTACCTAGGTAGACAACAACATGAACCACAAAGCCTTCCATCGTATCGTAAGTATTGGCCCGAGGCGGAGTCAGATTGCTTGTTGCTAGACCATGATGCCAGATCCCGCCAATAAATGGTTCGTTTATGTCGTGGCTCAAAGTATCGTGCTACGGTGCTACCTTACCTTCGAGCTCCATACCTCAGCTACTTTATTTTGTTGTACAATATAACTCCACTTGGTGTCGAAAGTGAATGCAACAGTCTTTGACGGTGTCAAGTTTCACCTCGTACTCGCAAAACGAGCCAATACAGGCGACCAGATCAGATCAACGCCAGTCCAGTCCCCCGGGCCAACTCACAAGTCCAACCTCACCCAAGTGACTGGGAGCGGTTCTCGGTTTGTAGTTGTATGCCTGCTTATGCTTGGCCCAGTTGACTCAAGGCCAGCTAAGAAAGCTTGGAAGCTTGGCGTACATGTATGTCTTGGGTAGGTAATTGATTTCGCCTTTCCTGACGTTCCATTCATCCCTTGAGCTCATTCCCCCTCGCGACGTTATGGTTTGAATGGTAGAGATGCGATTCGGGCCGCCTGGCAAATAACTTGAACTCGCATTACACCGCTTTTGGTTCGCCGAGAGAAGGGCTGAAGGAGTAGGTAGCCTGTAGGTAAGGACAACGCAACGGCGGTCAAGCCCGCCCATCGGAAAATGTAACGCCATGGCTGTACGGCATATTCTGGGCAGAACACTGGCATAGGGACACATAGACAGAGCTGTCGGGTGGCGGAGCATTTGGTGCCGCTGACCATCCACTTACCTACAGTTGCAGTCTGGTATGTAAAATGTTCAAAAAGGTTATGCAGGCACATGACTGCTACCAGACGAGAGTAGAGATATCTAATCGTTTGGTCATCAGTTAGTTTATTGCTTGCAGTATTCTGCGTAGGCAGTCTGTAGATACTACATGTATGTGCATCCTCACAGCAGGTACTAGACGGTGAGAGAGTAAGCACTTCACATACCGGTATTCATGTATCACGATCTGCGGAGCAATTAGCACCTCAAGAATCCCGCTTAACACACCGGCTTCGTTGACTGAGCAGTGAGCAATTGCAGTGAGCAAGTTGTTGCTAGTTTGCTACTAGCCAAGCTACTCGCCAAAGATTTGAGCCATATCGCGCACTTATCCAATCACCCATAACAGAGATAGTACGAAACCAGTCTGGTGCGTTTCACGGCCTCGAGGCCGGGCCTTCTGTTGATGCAGTGATGACCCGAACAGCAATCCCAAGACTCACCGGTGACAGCTGGAGGACCGGGCCAGTAGCAGACCCAGTTGAGAATCAACTCCCTGGGATAGGATGCACCCTGAATCGAGGCTAAGATACAGTTGGACGCCCTGTGCTTAGCCAGGAAGTTAGCCTCCTCCAGAATCCAGTCCTGACTAACGGAAATTACCGCTAGCAGCACCGTTACAACTCACGAGATGGCTTTGGTCAGGTTCAGCCCACGGGCTGAGATGCCCTGGATCGGGGCGGTTAAACTAAGGTATGGCGTTTCTTGTTCGTTTAGTGGAGGGAGCCAACTTCCAGGTTCCTCTAACAGGCTTAGCCAAGCGCCATTTCTACACACCCGTGGACGCTACGGTTAACCTCCGTGCACAATCGGCGCTATCTCTTGCTGGGCCCTGAACGCCACAAAAGGCCAATTTTATCCTCTTCTCCGCTCTGATGTTTCATTGGCCTTCAATATATGTGCTTGCACCTGTGGAAATGGGACCGTCCCAAGCTCCCCCAATGCATGCCTAGGTAAGCACGTCTTCTCGGCACAGGACTGGTGGCTGGTGGTGACTCGAGCTAGGCCGGGGGACAAATACCTAGTGAGGAGAACCACCGCCTAGGGGCATGCTAGTAGGCTGCCAGTACAGTTTGCCGTTGGCCCGTCCCCTGAGACCTGGAGTGGAATTCGAGGCAGAGTGTATGTGTCCCGTACAGGAGCACACGGCCCGTCCTCACGCAGTATTTGGCCTTCGAGCCGCGCAGGTGCAGGGCATTTGTGAGCCACCTGCGAACCCCGCTCTTGCAGTTGAGCATCGTCTCTTGGCGCTGATGCAAGTACGTGTACGGCAACCTTTTGTCTGCTGTGATTGTATCGACCAGGAACCGGGGCCCTGGACGAAGGAGGTGTCAGTTACTGGCGCAAGGGGGGAGGTCCCTTAGCGGTATTCCAGAACCCGAATGGAAACTGGCAATCACCAATCAACCACACTACATGTGGGGGGCCTGTGAGGGGGGCTTGGGTGGGGGATGGCAAGGAGGGGAAACAGCACGGAGAGCCATGGGATGGATGAAGAGGACATGAGGAAAAGATGACACGAGAATGCTTGCCACCTTATCCTTCCAGAAGGAGACCGACCAAACCAATCTTGCGCTGTCGGGGAGAGCGGGAGCCTGCCATTCGCACCAAGACCCTGTCCCTTGACTCCCCAGACGCTTGCTGAACGAGGGGTCGTGGGCGGTACACGCATCGAGTGGAGCCAGGGCAAGCTCGAGATTGGTACGAACGATATTGCGACAGAGAAGCATAATAATCTCTTGCTGACCGAAAATGGCGAAGGAAGTTCCGGTCTGACAGCAAAGGGCGGATGCCCAGTCCGTGTAGTCCGCCAAGCGGATCTGAGTTAGGGGTATGTATGTATGTACCCGTACCTGGAGCTCCGCCGCGATAGTCTATAGCGGTTTAAGGCTTGCAGTTGTGCCTTAATCCAGCAGCGCCTCAACGGCTTGGCGTCTGCGGGTCCGCCGGGATGAGGTACTGTACGCCTTTCTGGAGGGCGGCGATCTGAGCAGGGGAGGTCTCAAGCTGCCATTGCCTCCCATATAAGCATCGTGCCAGGACATGTGGATGTGTTCCCTTTTCCAAGACATGCTCGGTCAAAAGTAGCTGTCACAATACCATCCAAGATGTTGGGCACCTGGAGGTTAGACACCAAAAATGAAAACTCAATGTTTATGCGGCAGGCCATCGACCCGGTAACAGCAAGGCCTGTCGTGCAGCAAGCCTGCAACAGCTGTCGAGCAAAGAAGGTCAGTCATGGCTTCAACCGCCATAGCCCCTGGCCTCTCCTCCAGTTGCCCGTCGCTTTTCCGCATCATGCTGTCTATCATTGCCTCCTCAAAGGGGCCCTTTGACGCTCTCTTGGACTAACATGCGAAAAGCTCCGGTGTACGGGCGAGAAGACGGGTTGCAGCCGATGCAAAACATTATCAAGGCCATGTGTATATGCCCAACCAGCCGGGAAAGGTTCAGGGCGGAAAAAGAACAAGACGGATGGAAAGGAGTCGAAAAACAGCTCAGGGGCCGGCCGAGACCGGGAGACTTTGAAGCGGAGGCCGCAATCACCGACGGCAACATCCAAGGGGGAGCCGCAGTCAGCATCAGGCCTCACAGCTGAGCCCCTGGCCGAGACGTCGGGCGGCGATCCTTCTGCCGTCTCCGGGCATCCGATGGACTTCACCATGGACCTCGGGGATCCGACTCAGGACCTTGGAGTTGGCGCCTCTCTTGCCTCGTTTGACCTAGGCGACGGCTTTGGAAAGATACGCACGGGCGGGTCCCCGTCCAGCATCGAGCAGTGGCTCATCAGCTCGCCGCCCGAGCTGGATGTGGTAACAGACCTGGATATGGACATCAACCTGTGGACGAACAGCGGCGTCGACCCAGCCGCCTTCTCCGTCATTACCTCCCCGTCAATGATGACCCCTCCTCTGTCAACACTTGGCCTGTCCACCTCAGCCGCAAAGGACAGCATGCGGTCGTCACCAACCGACGACAACAGCCCGGCCTCTCGGAGCAGTGCACCCACGCCCAAGGGCGACGGGATATTGCTGACCAACGGCAAAGCAACAACACCACCCAACAAGTTCGGTGGCGGTTTACTAAACAGCAACAGCTCACCAACCACTTCACTGCAGGACCACCCGTGCCAGTGCCTGCAGCGGGTCGTGTTCCTAATCGACGAGCTCGAGACGGTGCAGGACACGGCGGCGGCGCAGCTGGACGCGGGGCTGGCGTCGCACCGCGAGGCGCTCCGCTACGGCGAGGCCATGATGCTCTGCGGGCACTGCACGTCGCGGCCCGAGAACATGACCATCCTCACCTTTTTGACGGATCGTCTGGCCGGCCTCTGCGAGCGCATCGTCAACGGCTACTTTGACCTGCTGCCGAGCCCGGGGACGGCTGGTGCGGCGCCGACCGGCAGGCGGCCCAACAACAGTCTCTCGGCAGACACCACCGGTGGTTGTGGTACAAGCGCTGGTGGTGGTGGTGGTGGTGGTGGTGCTGGCGGTAACGGTGGCTGCGGCGCTGGCGAGGGCGGTGAGCGACAGGGGAGCGGCAGCGGGCGGTGGGGGGTCTTCTTCGGGGATTACGAGGTGGACTCGGCTAACGAGTGGGAGCTATTGGTGAGGAATCTGATCGTGCTGCAGTTGAAGGCGCTGAGTGGGTTGATGGGACGCGTCAAGGAGGTTTCGGGTCTAATGCAGTGCGACACGCCCTGGCGCAAGGCTGTGGGGACCGAGAAGCGGATTGCTATGCTGCTTGACCGACTGAATGCCATGGCCGCCTGGGACGTCTGACGGGGGCTCTGAACAGAGCGCGCGGCACGGCAATGTCCAGGTGTGAGGTGTGGGGCTGCTGGCGAAGGGTGGAAGAATTGGAATGGAAGGGCTGGATGGAGCCTCCAGGATGGACGGACGGGAACAGCCCAGGGAATACCACGCCAGCGCGTTGAGTTGGTGCATACGTTGCACTGAAGCGGAGGATTTGCGCACGCGGGAGGGCTGTTACTGTATGTACTGGTATGCGTTCTGTGCCGCGCAACAGCGTCGCCGACTTTGGGTGTTATTGCACTAGACCGGCATCCGAATCGTGTAGAAATTCCAGGTTGTTGTTTCTCGAGCACATATTACACTACCTTAGATGCTAGATTCTGGATAGATCAAAGATGGGTGGATTGGCGCGACCAACAGTGCATTCCAATCCGGGGCCAATGGCTGCTTGACTTGGCCATCCCAACCTGACCTTGGGCCCCTCCTTCCGCGTCCTGCCAACAGACACGAAGCTCGGCGGGGTACTATTGCCCTGAATGCAGGCAGTCGCCCCTGACTCAGCAGGGGCCACCCAGTGAATGATGGGCGCCCCGCGCAGATCAGTTCAAACGGTCGCATCGAACCTCGAACTCTCCTTCCCCACCCAGCCCTACGCATATTCCCTACTCTCAGTTGTGTTACGAAAAAGTGCCCCAATGCAAGACGACTGATGAGGGTGTCGTGGCTCCCAAAGTACACCTGGTGATACACCGGAGCAGCCGGACAGGATCCAAAACAAGCAGCCAGCCCTGTGTTGAAGATGAGAGCATTTGCGCCGATTGGAACGTTTTACGGCCTCAACCGTCAACAACCATCTAGATTGGTTACCAAGCTAGAGTTGTGCGTCCTAACCGGTACTCGGGGTAGCACAGAACTGCAGCCTTCGGATTCCAGATTGGAACTTCAGTTGCCTACGAGTTCGATTCGAGCTTTCTGTATGCGGCTGCTGGGGGAGCTTATCCGAACCGCGTGAACGGTGAAGCCCTTCCACTGGCCCACTACAGGGCACACACCCTTGGATCTGCCGACCACTGCTAATCGAATCTACGCTAGGTACAGACTGACAATCTATTCTAAGGATAATACACATGTTAGAGGAGACTCTCTGCACACGTTTACCGTGATGTGTCATACATACAGGCTGCCATCGATAGGCAATTGAAGATTTCAAGGCGTCACATCGCGTTCTACGCTAGCAGCTGCGGCGATGTCCCCGGCCGGCTTTTCGGTGGCTGCAGCGCTTCCCGGGATTCCTTTCCGCCTTTGTTTACCCAAGAGTCCTCAAGATAACGTTAAGCAGGGGTTGGCACACCACAGGTTTCTTGGCCTGAATCGGGGTAAGCGTCGATCCAACTCCGACGCCCGTCAGATCTTAAATCGCGTACCATTCTTCCGAAATCCGGGGCGACATACCCCTCCAGAGTTTTAGCTCCCAGCCTCGCCCCGTCATCCGGCAGAGGCTGCCGTGAGAAAATCAGCCCGAACACCGCTGCCGAGATGCCGGCTTGGTCCGAAGACTGCAGCAAGATATGGTCAACGGCGTCTCGGCGTTTGGCCAGCTTACTGTGTCCCAACAAACCCATCTGATATCCTAGGCATTATTCGGTTCACTACGACCATCCTCGCTGTTCATCTCGATCAATTGCCATCATCCGCGGCGATTGTTGCGCGATAATAAGATTCCAACGTCAGCTCCCTTACTGCACTGACTGAAACCATGCCCAGAGATTCGATTACTGCAAGGAGCTTGGTGAAGCTGACTGCGGCCGCCACAATCACCAACTGCTTTCGAACCCTGGTTTCAAAGAGATCCTGTGGCGCTTCCGCTTTGGAAGCCATCGATGGGTCCCGGCCCTAGTGGGATTCGAGCTAGATCAGTATCTCAACGGGTCGCGATCCAAATCCCCGCTGAGGAGATACGCCCGCATCCGACGATCATCTCTCGCGGAATCTCGCAGATGATGCATGGCGCTTGTCTAGTGTACCGGGAGAAGGTCTCTGCACTAGTGTACCGCACTTCAGATCAACCCTCGACTGATTTGTCTCAGGAATCCATTTGCAGTAATCACCGCATTTCTAAGCAGCCAGCACATCCTGAACGGTCAGTGGTCCTGTACCACTCGACTAGCTAGAATCCTGATGTGCATCGGGAACAAGACTGGCGCCCTAGCCTTCACGATGAGCATCCAGTCCTCACAGAGAGAGCCTTTGGCACGTTGAGGAAGGTTGGCCCACGAGCGCCGGCGTTAAGGCATCGCCTCAGGTTTAGTAAAGTTCCTGAAAAGGCCAAAAGAACGCTCACCTACCTTACCTGACAGGTTTGTCAAGATTGCCAACAACTCCTCCGGGGACTCGGCCGGAAACCTCCGCAGGTGTACCGTCAAAGGTTCATCCTGGTTTTTCGCTTGAATACGCATCTAACTAGTATGTCTGCTAGCCAGGAATTGTTACCGAAGGCCGCCACAACAAGGGGCTACAGCTACGGTGCTGCAGGTCTAACTTGTTGAGGAGTGAGTCCCAATAACAACCCACACTTTCACCACGGTTCGTGAGACATATCCGCCAGTCCCTCGAAACAAAGCTCTTTGGTGATGGGTTGATTGATTATCTCAACGGTTCTAGTGGCTTTACTTGGCATCCCCGCGTTAGGCATAGGAATGGAACCATTCTAGTACCAGCCAGCCGAGGCAAGTAGGTACTAGCAGTATTCGCAGTAGTATTTACATTTGGTAGTTCCATGTCAAGAACAGGGGCCACTACCATTTGCACCCACCCGGGCCGGACCTCAAGAGTGACCATGGATGCCCTTACATTGGTAAAAAGCTGTGCGTGGGGGACGCTATCTAATTTTGACATTAGTACTAGTACTATCTACCAGGGAGAGTAAGCCTATGTTAGCATACTATCGTTCGGCAGCTTTTGAAGGTACTGCTTTCAACTCCCTTTGTTAGTTGTCAGACTATCTGTATACTCCCTGAGCACATATCTCAGTTTGTACCTAGGTATTTTGGCATGTGAACTAATATGATGGAAAATGGCAAGGGAAAAAGACCCAATAATATTCCTTTGAAGAATACTTACCTTACCAGGTAGGTGATTCGATAGGCAATTGTATCCTGGATTCATGCATGTAAGTTCTTAACCTCTACCAGTAGTACCAGCCCCCTTTCCCCCTTCCCACCAGTGACCACCCTGACTGCTTGACAGTTTCTCGTGAGATGCCCAGTTGAAATACCAGTGAACCAGTGATGCCCATATGCAATAAGCATCCTTCAAGTTCTCACGCGTTGGTTACTACTAGGAGGCCCGAAGCATCTGTATCACTTCACCTGGATGCTGTAGCTCTTGCACATACTCTACATGTATGTAAGGAGTCACTGCGAATACCTGAACGTACTGCAACTCTGCGAGGATAGATGCAACTTCAATCCCCCTTTCCGCGTCTGTAGGTAAGGTAGCTTCTGTCAATGGGATATAGCATACTACTGAATGTGACTTGACGATTAAGGTTGAATTCAGGCTGAGACGCCGCGTAGCATTCCGACAGCTAGCGAACGGTTCCCTACCTACCTACCCATCCAGGTACCTCCTAATACACCATTGTTCGGACCCTGACTCCTCGGCCGTGTTGGTGGTGCTTATACCAGACTCGTACAGGACTGGAGGCTTGGAGGCGGCAAGAAACCGAAAGCCGAAGACCGATTCTGGAGTAGGATTTGAGATTGGGCTGGCTGCAGATAGACAATTGGATATGTTGTCATTAATGGTGTTTTACAAGACACTTCTCGTAACACTCACACCAGTACTCCTAGCTACCTACCTAGCTGCTTCTACATGTTATATCCCATGGCAATGGAGCCGGATGGAATCCAACTCACCATTTACTTTGTGTTAAAACCGTCTTTCTGGTTATCTAGACGGATGGAAGATCTACTTTCTGTTGTGAAGAAAGGGGTAGTGCCGCAAGTGGATGAGTTGACCTCATGCAAGCTAGCATCCTGCATGCCAGTCAGGCCCTCGGGGCTTGACGTTGACCACGCCTTTGCCATGAAAATCTACTCAAAACCAGTGGAAGAACGGGAGCCTCCCTGAACCCATCCAGCTACCTACTTACACGCCTATACTACCACCTAGCCCTTACAGCCTGAGATGTATAAGGAGCGCCTCCAAGACCAACAGCACCTCATCATCATGATCATCATCAATCAGTCCCTCCCATCCGAGAAGAAAGCATTCCTCTTCCTCGACCCACTCCCACCCCTCGGCCTCTGCTCCACTTTAACACCACCACTCAGCTTCCCGTTCATGTTACCAACAGCGCCCAATTTCCTCCGAATCCTCACCGGCACCGGCTCCCCCGGCGGCTGCGCACCGAGCCCAAAAAACCGATCATCCATCCTCGGCACGCCATTCAACACCTGCATATCAAAATACGCCGCGAAAACCGCCACACTCCCCATCATCTCCTGCTTGGCCAGATGCCGGCCGGGACACATCAGACTCCCCCCACCATACGGCATCCAACCCCCCTCAAGACCCTCAGTTGAAAACTTGACCTTCTTTCCATGTCCCGAGGGATCGGAGTCAAGGTCTGGAACTAGAAAGCGCTCAGCCCAGAATTGAGTTAGCGGTCGCCGCCCGTGATCGGTGCGTTCGGGACCCCAGACGCCTTCGTGGAAGGAGGCGACCGGGGTGGGGACGGTTACGAGACCGCCTTTTTTCAGGGTGAAGGGGCCGAGTTTGTAGTCGCCTAGGGTGGGGGAGCGGTTGTGGAAGAGGGCGACGCGCATGCGGAGGACTTCGGCGTAGACGGATTGGAGGAGGGGGTTGGAGGTTACGGTGGCGATGTCGAATTGGAGGGGCAGTTGGGGTTCTTCATTGGAAGAAGGGGAGGAGAGGGAGAGGGAGGAAGAGGGAGGGGTGATGATGCTTTTTGCGAGTTCTTCTTGCACGCGCACGAGGAGGGAGGGGTCGTTGTAGATCTCGATCAGGTTCCAGAAGGCCATTGGGAGGGCGTTGGCGCTGGCGCTGTGGGGACGGGGGTTGTGGTAAGTAAGGTAACCGGACGTAAATAAGGGATAGAGGGGAGGTGGTAAAGGGGACTTACGCAGTGAACAGAGCCAGGTCCTCGCTGGCAAGGGCATCATCATCCATAGCCCCCGTGTCAACGCCCCAGGCATACCGAACCTTCAACCATGAACTGCCCCAGTAATCATCCCAATAAGGATCATTAGGCCCGTTAAGCCGGTAATCCGAGTGCTCCTTGGCATGAGCATGCCAGCGCTTGATGGCATCCAGAATCCTCTCGCGGGCGCCGTAGGCCTTGGGCGCGATGAAGCGCGGGTAGAACTTGGAAATGGTCGGCCACTCGTCCAAGTAGGTCCAGAAGTCGTCGACAAAGCCCGGGTTCAGGCTGACCAGGTAAGGCCCGCAGATGGCGCTGATGGCGGCTGCGAAGAGTTTTCGCGTCCACCATTTGTAGAAGTCTGGCAGCGTCACCCATTCGCCTGAGTCGACTGGGTCTGAGGGGTCGACTTTGGCGAGTTCCTCGGACAGGTTCTTCATGACCCGCTCGCCGATCAGTTTTAGACTCTCGCCCTGCATGAAGCGGGATGCGGTTCTGTGTTGGTGGTACCACACGCGCAGGTTGGGGGGCACGTTGGTGCCGGGCAAGGGGACGGAGCCGATGCCGCTGTTGTCGTTTTTGTAGATGTCTGCGGATAGCTGTTAGCAGGCTCATCCAATACATGGAAGTCCTGGGTTTCATGAGGCAGACTTACGGATGGCATTCTTCTTGGTGCCAAACATCTGACTCATGACAAGAACCGCAAAGGCTTTGTTGGTGCAGCTCCGCGTCGCCTTCAACAGAGGGGCGAACGTCTCGGGCTGCAGCATCAAGTAGGCCTTTGCCGGCCCGAGCTTGATGGTGACTGGCGTCGAGTCGCCATATTTGGCCCTGGATCGCATCATCACGACTGTCAGTACAGACTTATTCCAGTTGACACAGAATATATCAAAATACCAGGTATGGTTAAGGTATGCACTTACACGATACCCTCCACCAGCCCCCGTCTCGCCGTCAGAAACCCGAACCAGTCGCCCAGATACGGAATCCAGTACGGCTTGATGGGCGGTTCGCGCCCGTCTTTGCTGCTGCGCAGTGCAATGACCGACTGCAGCGACGTGATGATGTAGGTGGACAGCAAGAGCAGCGCAATCGACATGGGCAGGCTGAGCTTCCAGTTCTGGACGACGGCGTCGGCCGTGGCCAGCACAATCTTGCCGCTGCCCCCTACGGGGACATGGGTGATGTTGTGCATGGCCAGCTTGGCCAGTGCCTCGAGTCTCTGCAGGCCAGAGTCCATGGCTGTGGACTGAGGTGGTCTGGACAGCAGCTTGCAAGGAGGAGCTATGTATTTTGCAAATTAAACCAAGTAATAATAGTCGTTCGGCGGCGAAGGAAGCCGTTTCGCTTCTTGTACCCCAGGAGGGGGCTTTTTGGGCGGGATTTGATTCAGGCAAGTCCCAAGTCCTAAACCGTTCGTTCAATCACTGCCTGTGTATGTGCCGAAGCCCCATTGAGCCATTCAACCTCAGGCAGGCAAGTAAGCGGCGGGCCGGTGTTAGTGTGCGAGACAGCTGAGTGGTGGCCCAGGGAAGGGTAACATCGTGTCAGGTCTGCAGATAAACCACTGCCCCAAGAACTGAACCGCCGAGCCGCGCTCCAGTAAGCGGCCGATGCTTGAAGCAATGGGGCCGGGCCTGCACGGACCGGCATCCTGCCCTCGGAGATCACACTGAATACCCGGTATGGCAGTGGCCGATGCTGCTACCTTACAGTACTTCCCCGTCTGGAATGAGCCCCAAACTGCCCCGAACTCCGTTCGGCCCCGGGAGTAGCACAGCTCATTCGTGCATGAACGGTTCAGGCTCGTTCGCTCTACTCGGGACTCGCTTCCATGAGCGGTACATCCCGACTCGCTCTGCTTACTCCCAGGAACTGCACTGCTGGAGAGTAACCGCCGTGATCAGTTTCCCGGGCGGGTCTCTCGTAGCCGCAGGGATGCATCGTTCATTGCCAACTGACTGTATTGTACCCACCTGGTATCTGGCCGAGATAATGCGCACTGCTTGTGGCGGGACCGTCTGAGTGAGCCTGCCTGCCAAGGCATGTCAACAAAGAGACATGGCCGCCGCCCTGTGCTGTTGACTGATCTCAAGACGGATTTATCTAAAGGGTCTCTCGAGAAACGAAAATCAGGCCACATTAACCCTCCCCTTGGCTCTCGTTCAGTTCCAGTCCACCGGGCCGATGCTCCATCTTGATCCCTTCTTTCTCTAATCTCCCATCCACCCACCCCTTTCCAGTTCTCGTCCAGTCCATCCAGCCTTCACACTTCGTCTTCAACAACAACAAACAACACAATGGCCATCTTCGAGTACCTCCCCTCAGCCCTCTACGGCGTCCTCAACCGCATCAGCAACACCACACAAGGCAACCAGCACACTCTGCAAACCAAGCAGGACGTGCCCAAATCGCACATCTCACCGCTCTGCCACCCCCGTGTGGAACTGGTAACCCAGGAAGTAGACGGCTACTTCCTCGAGCACTGGCCGTTTCCCAACGAGAAGGCCCGCAAGAAGTTTGTCAACGCGGGGTTTTCTCGTGTTACGTGCCTGTACTTCCCCAAGGCGCTGGATGATCGGATACACTTTGCTTGTCGGTTGTTGACGGTGCTTTTTTTGATTGATGGTGAGCCCCTCCCTACCCAACATAATATGGAAAGAATGCTGACTGGATTTGTGTGGGGAAGATTTGCTCGAGTACATGTCCCTCGAAGAAGGCGAGGCGTACAACGCGCGCCTGATGCCCCTGATGCGCGGCGAGCGGCTGCCCGACCGGAGCATCCCCGTTGAGTACATCACGTACGACCTGTGGGAGAGCATGCGCGCGCACGACCGGGAGATGGCCGAAGATATTGTCGAGCCGGTGATTGTGTTTATGAAGGCTCAGACGGATAGTACCCGTATGAAGCCGTTGGGGCTGGGCGAGTATCTGGAGTACAGGGAGAGGGATGTTGGCAAGGCGTACGTTCATCCCCTTCACCTCCCCCCCCCCCAACCCTCCCAAAACATTCAGCGCTAGTAATCTAACATAACGGGATAGACTTTTGGGTGCGCTAATGCGCTTCTCCATGGGCCTGCGCATCTCCCCCTCGGAACTGGAAACCGCCCGCCCGGCCGACATGACGTGCTCCAAGCATTTGTCGGTCATCAACGACATCTGGAGCTACGACAAGGAACTGTTGACTTCTCAAACGGCGCATGAAGAGGGTGGTGCGCTGTGCAACATTGTGGCCATCCTGGCCAAGGAGGCGGAGCTGTCCGTTCCCGCGGCGAAGCGGGTGCTGTACGGTATGTGCCGTGAGTGGGAGGTTCGCTACCGCGAGGTGTCGGAGGAGGTCCTTGCGCGTTGTAATACGCCGGCCATGAGGGCGTATCTGCAGGGCTTGGAGTTCCAGATGAGTGGGAATGAGCTGTGGAGTAGGACTACGTTGCGCTATTTGGCGCCTTCGGAGTAGATTTCAGGTAGAGATGGGTGATGGCGGTTTTTGTTGGCGATTGAGCGGAGTGTTCTTGTCATTCCGCGGTTTTTTGCTTCTTATTTCTCATTGCGGTCAGGGTTGGTGGGCTGATTTTTTT